GCAATAAGATTACAAATAAACTGAATAAAAATTACTGTATCGAGGTATAAAGAGACGTCTCGATCTACCGCCCCAAGGAATGCTAACACCAGGTCCCGAGATATTTGCAGAATAAAACGTACAAGTGCATGACATTTATGTTCAGTCGGAAGGTCTGTATAAATCACCGATCACCGATCAATATCATCCCCTATTTCACCCCCCCCCCTTCCCCTCACTCCTTGTTATCCACAAATACCGTGAATTTATCTTTTCCACTGTTTGAATTCCTAGGAGTCCTGGAAACACGCAATGTGTGTTTCCAAGTTATTCCCCAGTGTACTGAAATACCCGAGGGTGTGTTAATTGATACCCTGGCGCCATTCAATGACACGATGCAATTTCTGAACGACGCCGTGTGCTTCGTTATATCGTATAATCGGTGATATTTAATTACACACCAACCATAGGAGACGCGTGATTGCCTTTGAAAATTGTCTCTATGGGGTGACGCTCTGCTCATCACGTCAAATATTTGCCAAAAAAAAAAAAATACATAAAAATCTGCGAGAACATTTTACAATCAATCAGTCATCGGCTAATGACACCAATCCATCGGTCCAAAACGACACATTCCCATCAATTAATTCCAAAATTATCTCCAAATTTCTGTCAAAAATCCTAAAAGTCGAATATTCGAATTGACTACGATTTTCCCCAATTTGTGTGTCACTCAATTCAAGTGGAAAAAAAGACAGTTAAATGATTCTTTTATCACCATGAAATTGCAAAAAAAAAAAAATATCACCGATTATCTTTCACTTTCCCTCGAACAGATCATTGGATCATAAATGCCGGTCAGTAAAGACATGACGCATGAAATTACATATCACCGTGGCGTCGATACACGACAATAAACGCTAATCTGTCGCACTTCCGGTTGGAATTAAAGAACAAAAAAAAAAAAAAAGAACCACCTCGATACTAAGAAAAACGGTATAAAATTAAAAACCAGTGTAAAATAACTGGCGCCAGTGCTAATAATTTTCACGGTAAAGCATCAGCGTGTGCGTGACGCCTTCTAATCGTTTTCGGGGAGGGGGGAGGCATCCCCTTCTCGTTTAATTGCCATTTCATGATCTCCCTCAGCCTCTCATTCTTGCTCACATCCCACAACGAGCATCAACAGCCTCAACAACTCACATATAAAATGCACCAAGAGGTGTACATAATGACCATCCGACTCAGAGGGGTTGGATTATGGTAGAGAAGAAATAAGAAACTGTCTCGTTCATAATATCCCCCATTGAGGCTAGAATTTTAACAAATTTTTCCCTCAACCCCTCTCATTCTCAATGTATTTTAATGCCTGTACATAAACTATAAACGCCCGTGACTCGTTGCCTGGTATAATATACACCAGTGTTCACCGTAAAAAACGAGTGTCATAAAGGCTATTTAGAGGAAGCAATTAACATTACATTAGGATAAAAGAAGCTGTACCAGCATTGTTTATGCTTCATTCAGAATAAATTGTTTCTCAAAAAGACATTTATAGCGTCAACGATCGTGAATTAAATTCAATCGCGATTATTTTTGTCGGAGAACCGGATATGATCACTGGAAGTAAGCCCACATGCCAGAATGAATCATTTGATAATAATATTAAAAAATGAAAAATAGAGAAATAGTGAGCGATGAAAAAATGATTATCTCGCTGTTCCCCATCTGAGACTCCCAACGCAGAGAAAAACAAAAAAATCAACGAAAAATTAGATAAACGATTAAAATTCACCTCGTAATGCGATCATGATGGCACTAACGCCACAAGCGGTCTCCTGTACTTGTCTTATTTCCCTTTACTTTAAGTTTTACCGTAAGACCTCCTGTACCACGTCGAACCAAGGAGTATTGGCCACACGAGGGGAATCCTACAAGAACCGTTTAAGAGTTTGTAAGCAGTGCGGATTCACCGAGAGGAAACAAAAAAAAAAAGTGGTGAAAATAAGGAATAAGTAGCCAAAGGGGAGATGCCGAGTCACCACCAAAACGGGGATAATAAAAATAACGTAACCCCAAGTTGAAATAAAAAAATAAATAAAGATTTTTAAACGCGTACAACGGTTTCCCCAGCTGTATCGATAATTCTCAAGGACCTCTCAGGACCTCGGGTTGTTCCTACACCACGTGTAAGGGGAGACAGGAAGAGAGATGGTCAACCAGGGATACTTTCGTGTTTTGTACTCAACTCTGAACCAGTTATTGAATTTACATTAAAAAGATAAATTTAAACCGAGTAATGCCATTTGGCACGTACTTTTTGCCCACTTTTCGTTATAAATATTTAATTGACTCAATGCAAATGACTCGATGTTGGTTGATTAATCCGCTGTACCCAATTGGACTCTCATCTTCAAGACTCAAATTCATTAACTGAATATTTCAATGAAGAAATAAAAAAATCCAACCGAGTGAAAATCGAGTGGCCACTTGTGGTAAGAAAATTTCCCAAACTTTCGCCTATTTTCATCCCTCTCTCCCCAACCAACACACATCAAATCATGAAATTCAATATAAATCGTGTGCATTCTCCTCAATCTCAATCACGGAAATTATCATTAAATTCCCAAGTGAAAATACTTGTAAATACGAAAATGATTCGTGACAAAAACTCATCGATGCAGAAAGGAGGAGGAAAAAAAAAAAACAACAACAACAACAACCTGACCAACAACCGCACGACATCCGTAATGCGCCGAAAACAGAAGCCAATGGGGGTATCATGTGTACCGGTATCATAACGGCCAAGACATTGCGGAGGGACGTGGAGACTGGCGTTTAAATTGGACGACGCCACGGTGTGTTACATCGACGCCTTATTAAACCACCTCTTTTCATATAAGAGAAAGAGAGAGACAAAGAGAGAACACCAGAGAATAATAAGAGCATCCGCAGGAGTCCATACCCCATCCTCATCCCGAGTTTCATTAATTTCCACATCACGTGACGATCCTCTCAGCCCCCCCTTTTTTTTTCCACCTTAAATATTTTTTCCACTGCAGATTCATCTCAATCAGACGACTCGTTAGCAAGAGCTTCATTTGCACCGAGGAAGTGATAAAAAATAAATAAGCGTCCAGAATCTCTTCTGTATCCAGAGGCATTGTGGGAATAGCCAGTGTTATTTATTTTCACAGTGGAATTCAGTCTTTATTCTCCTCTCATTTCCCTTATCACCTGGATCACACCCGCTGGCTCCAGTGGTGTCGAAGATGGTCTCGTTCCTAGTGTTAAGTAACGAGGAGCCTTTTCTCATCCCATCTTATATAGATTTTTCTTGGTTTTTTTTTTTCTTTGCTAATACCCTCCTCTACACTGGATCGGTCACGGCGTCGGTAAATTGACCGATAATGTTGCCTGGCACTGATTGCTGGATAGCAATGATGGATGCACGATGCCTCCCCTTTCCTCTTTCCCTGGTGAAGCTGCTCGTGCGACTCCGGGGGCTGTCCTTTATACCATATACACGCCAAGGTCGCTAACCTTGGCCGTGTTGGAGCCCTCCGGTTGTATTTGGCGCCACTGGGTTCAGTGAAATTCAACCGTATCATTTGCACTTTAAGATTTTTTCCTTTTAATCTATCCTCATCGTCAAATTGAAAGAGATAGGAGAGAATAGAGGTGAGAATAAAAAACAATAAAATTCTCTCATGGAAAACAATCCTAACACCATCGACAGATTTTCCAAGGAAACAACCAGACTAGAAACAATCCAATGACATCCCCTCAATAAAGCATCTACAACACGCGCCTCAAGACCTCATTCCCTGCCATTTAAAAACTCATTTCCGATTGTCAACGATGTATTTACTCACTCGAGATTGAGTGCGCATCGATAATGCATTCATCCAGCACGCACAGAGGCCGTCCTGGAATGCAAGCGTCTCGCATTACAACCGCAGGATATCGACGATGAGAAGGGAATCGTTAAAAAAAAACAACGAATAAACAAACGTAGAGGTAAAGAAGAAAAAATAAGATGGAGTAAAGTAACAACGACAGTGCAGTGGAGTAAAAAATCGAAGAAAAATTGGTAACGTTATTGAAAACCAGTTCACCACCGATATCCGAGTCATCCACTCGTTATCGGCTTATAATTGTGGATTACCATCATCACTGGATGGTCGTGCATGGTGAAGAAAAAAAAATAGACAAGTGATGGGGAAAAAAAGAAGAAATTGAGAATAAAAAATCCCATCCCCTTATCACATCGTCGACTTTAACTAATATAATTCTCTCTGATTGTAAATTATTTAAGTCTGTGAATTCATTAGACTCGTGTAGGCTCACCTCTCAGAGGCTCTTGATATACAATCTGCCGTATGAATTTTAATGGCGTCTGAATAATTGATGAAATTCTTTGGGAAATCTTGGCAAGAAGAGAGAGCACCATTGCTAACTCAAGAACATCGAGGAAGACACTCTGAGTAACACTCTTTAACTTGGCGCCAGTGTTGCAGGAAGCTCAAATGCATTTTTGAGCTATTTCTGGTGCATAAGGTGGAGTCATTGGAAGGTGAAGAAATACACTGGCGAGAGTGGCCAGTTTGAAAGAGGAGGAAAGAGGCGATTTATGTGTCCTGGATAAACTCGGAGATGAAGTGGTATTTTTCATTGGGCTTAGGGAGATAGGCGAGCTGAGTACACGTACCAGTTAAATACCACAGTTAAACCAATGAATATAATTGTTTTGGATATTTTACCCAGTGTCGACAATTTAAATCTTCCAAGTGTTGTCACTTGGTATATTTTATCGAAACAGTCTCTTGTGCTTACGAATTTTTACCCCCACCCCTGCTGATAACTCTGGAGTCAGAGTCGGTGTATAAACCAAAATAAACGAAATTGTGAGATTAAACCAACACCAAAACAAATGCCCCCTTTGTCTCCGCTGGAATTTCGTCGAGATTTTCCGCAACAGAATCAATATTTACAATGAAAGCGTTGATTTTATTACTCACCCTGCTCCAAACACCGTCAATACCAGGAATTTCTCACTTTCGCAGATATCTCCAACCACACACTTTTATCACTACACCGATATTTTTCACTAATTAATCCATAAAAAACTCACACATGCAGTTGTTACTGTCTAGCTCATAGGATGTTCATATTTTGTCTCTCTCACACAACACTGAGAGCCGGTGTTTACGCCACGGACAAAAATTCCCACAACACTGCACGAAAAATCGTCAAACGTCTGAAAATTCTCAGTCACATTCACCGTAAAATCCACTATCAATTGTTAATTATCAAAGAAAAAATCACTCAGCCGATTTTTAGTAACAGAATACTCCAACAATGGTGATTTAGCATGCTGTTCAACGGGCAGTTCTTTGTCCTCGACACACTACCATGTACACCGACACAAATAGCACGAATATTTGCCATTAGACAGATTAATTTGTTGAAAGGGTATCCGTGGGATATATTAGAACACTTCACTCAACTGTTTATCACCAATTTAATTGTTAAAATGCCATTTTGGCGTCTGTTTTTGTCGCACACGCGGAACATCGACCGGCCCACTCGCTCAGACAAAGGAGACTGCGCGCGCAGCACCACGCCACCCGCCATTTTGGCTGGCGCTGCCGGCCGTGCGCGCGCTTTTTCGACTTCAAACAACTGCGCGCCATCTCTCCAGGTATATAGTATATAATACTAGTAATATACCTCCATATGATAAAAGATTTATATAATACTAGCGCCGCCTCGCCTTAGGAATATATGCAACTTATGATTAGAATAGTGTTTACGTTCGACAATTGAACGCACCAGAAGTTATTCGAATTATTCATTAAGAATCGAAGTTAATTGAATTATTCAGGAGGAATAATGAGTGAGTTATCATCAACATCGAAGGAGAGTGCTGAACCTTCACTCAGTAAAAAAACGAAAATTGATGACAATCCACCTGTCGCCTTATCAAAACCTACGAGTGGTCTTACAATTCTGGTCAATCAGAAACAAGTGCGATGTTTATTTAATTATTTAATATTCACTGAGAATGAAAAATCTTTCGCTAAATAAATTTACGTCCAAAATACTTGAATCATAGCCTTTGCAAAACCATCTCAATTTCTAGAAAGGAAATCCTCTCCTGAAATACATGAAGAATTTACCCTGGGCATACTCGGACATCGTCCCAGATTATGTAATGGGTCCTCGTGTCTGCGCCTTATTTCTGTCCTTGAGGTACCACCAATTAAATCCCGACTACCTCCACGACCGCCTAAAACTTCTTGGGAGTGGTTATCAGCTCAGAGTTCTGCTCGTTCAAGTGAATGTCCTTTAATTAATTCTGCATGAGTCTCAATTATTTCTATTTAAATGACAGCAATTACCGTAGATTGACGTTGCCGAGCCGAATCACTCACTGAAACACCTGACAAGAATCTGTATTCTAGCAGATTTGACGTTGATGCTGGCCTGGAGCGCCGAGGAAGCTGCGAAAATGATAGAAACGTACAAATCCTTCGAGAATAAACCACCTGATATGATCATGGAGCGTGCAGACGCCGATCCACACCAGCAAGTAATTATTAATAAATTATTTCAGCTGAATTCAACATTAAAAAAAATTTAATTCACCTCAATTCAGACGATTTTATTTTATTATTTCATTTATCCATTTTATAGGTCATGAATGCACTGACTACAATCAGATCCATCAATAAAACCGATGCCATGACATTGATGACGGTTTTTGGTTCATTGGCGGCTATCGTGAAGGCCTCACCAACAGCCCTTTCCCTGTGTCCTGGGATCGGGCCCCAGAAAGCCCAGAGGCTTCACAAAGTTTTACACGAAAAATTTATTCGCGAGGACTCATCGAAGGACAAGCCAGGGCCTTCTAATATTCAGGCAGGGTCCTCTGGCGAACAGGAAGATCCCTCTAATCCTCAGCCTGGACCCTCTAGTCCTAAGCCTGGACCCTCCAGCCCTCAGCCTGGACCCTCCAGCCCTCAGCCAGGGCCATCAACAGCTTGAAACCCATCCAAAAAGTATTATAATAAAAAAAAAATATTAATAATTATTATTAATAATTGAATATTACCATGTGTCATATTTTTGTATTTTTTTATAAATAAAAAAATCACTCCAAAAATCTGAGAGTTGATTTAATCGTGGGAACCGAGGAAAAAGGATTTACTGAATTCCATTAAGTCATTGGGAATCACCAAAACGAAATTGAAATCATGATTTACTTTATTAAGCGAAGAACTGATGATGCCTCAACACACATCATTATTTTCATAATCTGAAAAATCAGTCATACCTCCACTCACTGACTCACGCCTCATTTCGTTAACCTTTTCATTTAGTTCATTGAAACAGTTCACGTAAATATTATCACCATTATCAACAATTTACAAAACAAAAAGAAACGAAGGTTCAATATCAATCACTGAAAGTTTTCTAAAAAAAGAAAGAAAGTGAAAATCTCCATCAGCATTCCCCCTTTACAATTATCTCCTCCATCTGTCTCTGAATTGTTATTAATAAAATAAAAGATACAATGTACAGAAGAGCATTACAAAATGTGTAATTACAATCGCAAATGATAGAGTTGAAGGAAAAATAAATCGATTAGGATGGGACACAGTCGCTTTTCACTGAACAGACACGGTTGTGACATTTTTCATTTTTTCTCTGGTAAAAGTCATCGGCGTACCTTAATTAAATAAAAAAAAGAATTGAATTAAAACGGGGAGGTTTCAGAAGTATCGTCCTAGGTACAGTGACAATTTTCCACAGAATGCATTAAATACTCGTTTGAGTTTGGTGTCTGAGCAGTCAAGGGATCGGTCCCACTTCTAGCTTCATCGAGACAGAGAGTGAGATCGTTCGTGCGTCGATTGGGATTCACCACCAGCTCGTGCGTCCGTTATTCTCTGGGAGGCTGGGAGTGAGTCAAAGAAAGGATGGGAAAGAGCATCCTTCAGAGTTATCCGTTGGGATGGTTCATACTCCAACATGTGTTGGATCAAGTCAAATAATTGTCGGTGTTCCTCTTCCTCACACAGTAAATAACGCTGTAAAAAAAAAACCATTAAAAAATGTCAAATTGAATTAATCTTCTCAAAATTTGGTCTTAATTATTTTTTTTTCTCATACAATTTTTTTTTTTTAATAATAATTAATGTTAACTTACGTGCAACGGTTTACAATTATCTCTAACATATCTTCCAGCAGAACTATTATCATTCCAATCCAATTTGCCATGATAAAAGTACTTGGTCTTAGTTTTACGCGCCATACGGTGTGGAATAGTGCCAAGTATGCGCTCCATCATAGCGAGATGTTCACGATTATCGTGTGTTTGGAACAACGTTATTCCCAGGTACAATTCAAAGAGTATGCAGCCAATTGACCAAACATCACACGGCTGGGACCATCCAAGCTCTGATGAATTATCATAATGGTTAATAATAGCGCCCTTTCAATTATATCGCACACTCGATTGAGAGAGTGGACTCGGAATCACGTGGTATCTATTCGATATAAAATTACTCACCGAGAATAACTTCGGGCGCTCTGTAGTGTCGCGTACTTACGATGGTGCTGTGATGCTCATGATCGAATGTCGCACTTCCAAAATCGATTAAACGAATGTCCGTTCGCTTGACACGCCTCACATCTCGTCGCTTGAACAGAAGACGCTTTTCTCAAACGTTTTTTATGTGTTTCTGGCCAATGGTAAGGCCCCATTTACTTGATAAGGACGAGTAGGATTTTTTTTCCATTGAAAACAATTATTTATCATTCGATTATTCAGTAGAAATTCAGTGGATATTAAAAAAATATATTCCTGCAAATTATTTTCATTGGAAAAGTGAATCTCCTGGTGAATAACATCATCACGAATAAAATACTGTTTTTAACATGAATGCGTGCTTTGTCGCGGACATTTATTACGAGAATATCTCTGATAAATTCATGCTCTAATTACACAACAGATTGACACCATTGGAGAAGGAATGAGAGGGTGGGAAAAACACAGAACATGTAAAGGGATTTATTTAAGGATTCAGTGATGATTACCTTTTTGGCGTTGTATGAGATGTCAAAGTCTGAGTCAACGAAAAGTATATTTTCAGGTTTGAGATCCGTGTGAGTGAGTTTGTTGTCGTGGAGGAATTTCACAGCATAACACAGCTGATACCCCATGTGTCGAACATGATCCAGGGGATATGGCTGGTAACTGTTGTCTCTCTGTGATTCAATCGAGATTTCATCAAATTAATTATGCATTTAAAACATCTTTTGAAAATCAAATTTTTTACAATACGTACTAGAAAATCGAACACACTGAGTCCCAGCATTTCAAAGGCAATGCACATGTGCCCGTGGTAATTGAACCAGTCCAACATTTTCACACAGAGACTGCAAGAATAATAACGCAATTTGTCAAATTAAATTTAAGAGGAAAATTGCAAAATTTTTGGCAGGGCATTGAGAATGCGAGATTTGAGGAGAAAATTTCTAATAAATTTTTTCTAAAATATTAAGAGGTATGTGAAGAGAGTGAAAAAATAATAATTGCTATTTACTGTTGACAATCTGGATCTTTCGTTGCAATTTTCTCAAGTGCATTAATCTCCAGCTTAGCAGCCTCTCTGTACTTCTCTACATTCTTGATAATCTTCAAGGCCATAGTGTGATCCCTAAATTAAATTAACACGATGAGTAAGTAACCGATGAATTCCGACAATCTAAAATATAATTCTAAGTTCCTAAATATTTGAAACAACAGTACGAACACACGTGTACTCTTGACACTGAGCCAGTACTTAATTACGATAGCCATTCCCATGTTATTTATAATTTCAACCCTCCGTAAAATATTCAGGGGAAAGACTACAATCTCCCATTAAAACCACCAAATCCAGCTGTTAACTTACATTTGCATATCCTTAACCTTGACAACTTTTCCAAAAGTACCTTCCCCCAGGGTTGACAGTACTTTATCTGTAATAGTAAGAATATTGAGTTAATCCAGAGCAAAGGTACGGCCTTGTGAGCACAATTTCACACCGACTATCAGCATAATCTCCAAATTTCGTCGAACAAAAAGTGAAAAATAAACGAATGAAAACGATTATGGAATTATCAAAAAGTGGACAACTACCCTGAATAATATATCGATAATTCAGAGATTACAATGATAATATGAACGTGTTCGCACGGCCGATGAACAATAAACTGTGCAGCAGAGTGTTTACCGAGAAAATTCTGCTTTTCACTAGACGAGTTAATTTTAATACGCCTCGAGGTTTAATTACCCCAACCGATAACCTAATTATTTTCTATTCAACCTGACTGACGATTACACGAGGCAATATGTTCACTTTCTCTCTGTCTTCGTCAATCAAATGGAAGAAGTGTGCCGTTTAAATTTATCGAGTCGTAAAAATTCGATTCCAGACAATCGATGATTGATTAATAAGTCAATCGTGAAGAGGGAAAGTTTGATAGCGAGACAGAGAGAAAACGGACAACGGTCGACGTTTCACCCAGAAAATAAAATAATGACGTGAAGAATAAAAAATTTATATTCATCGAGAATAAAAATTATTTCTTTTTCAATCAATCGAGAAGAGTGAAAGACATTCTCATCGGTATCTAACGCGTTCTCCAAAGGGAATGCGATTCCACTCTTAATTCCTGGGTGACACGACACACCGAATTGTTTAATGCTACTTGTAGTCGCGCGGGTCCAGCGAGACAAACGTTGGCATCTGAAAAAGGTGGAATGTCAAAAAAAAAGTGAAAAAAAAAAGTCAGACAGGAGGAGAAATATTGTGGGCACGAAAGTGTGCGATTAGAATCTAATTAAATCCCGGGAATGAATCATTATCTTAGATTTGATTGAAATTTTATACTTCTGGGCTCTGATGTTATGATTTTTTTTTTTCTATATCAATGTTGGCGAAAATAATCGTTTTGGCTCGTTGGTAGGTATTGTGTCACAGTACAATACCTACTAATCACGTAAGGATGAAACAAGTCAACGAAATTATCTGGGAATGAGGGAAAATTACTGAGATAAACCGAAAATCATTTTTGGAGTTATTCAATTGAATTTACTATGAAAAATTGAGAATCGCCAGAAAACGATTCGATTTCCGCGAATTTCTCGAGAACTTTTTGCCCGCGGGATGAATAATTGGAGAAATTTTAATGAGATGATTCAATTATTTTTTTCAATTTTGTAAACAAACATATAATAAATCACCCATTAATATAATTTCCCCATTCTCATGGTGAACAATGACAATTCACCGAGAAATTCTCAACGGTAAAAAAAAAAATAATAGAAAAAATCGAAAGAGGGGAGAACATGAAGGAAAATAAGATGAAAAAAGTCGAGCCAATCGATCTTAATGGTGAAAAGACTGCGAAAAAAAGGGGTTGATAAAAATGAATAATCATTTCTGTTTCTTAAATCTACTACAATGATTGTATTCACGTATTTCACGAACATCTATTTGCCAGGACGTCGCCATTTTGGTATACAAGGTGGCCGTCCTCGTCGTCCTCGACGGATGGTTGTCGTGGGCTCTAATCGTCGAGTAAATCGTGGCATCAAACAGTGTCGAGATGATATTGGATGTCCCCCAATGGTTGGTAATGTTGATCCAATGGCAAATGACAATGATGCAACCAAAATCGACAAAAAATCGGTCGATACCACCGCAACAATTGGCCATGATCCCATCCGTTGTAACAAATTCAATAACGGATTCATCGATAATAATAAATCCCCATTTCCATTAGTTCCAGGTTATGCCGAGGATATTCCACAAATCATCAGTGTTAATAACCAGTTGTGTTGTGTTGTGTGAGTCCCCACAGTGTGTTATCATCGTTGATTCATTCAGCCGTTGTTGATCCACATCAATTCCATCATAGGGTCCACCCCACAGGACGAACCATTCCATTTGCCATTCCATTACAACGGAGATGGTAACCCAACAATCAGAGAGAAAGGGGAGAGGGCAAAATAGTTTGCCAAGTCAGAAAGTTGCGGTTACGAAATTTACCAATCGGCACAAAGCGCATTTTTATCCTTAATCTATTTTATTTTTTTTTCAATATATTATTCTATATATATTTTTGGATTTTTCCTACTGATATTTACCGAAGCAGTCTTATTTTTCACATCAACTCAAATAATTCTAAGAACAATACTTCAATTTCATTGAAAACTCGACTGAACATTGACTGATGAAACTAGAAACTTTGGAATTCTACTGGAATAAAAAAAATAATAAAAATCACTGAACAATTGTGCAATTGTAAATAATTTGAACAATGACTGCTTCGTCGTACCGCTTCTTCGGCCGATTGTTCTTGATGATTCACCGGTACTCTAATTATTTTTATACTAGTAATTTATTACGAAAATACTACAATCGACTGCTTTTTTTTTATTTTCCATTACGTCTGGATGTGACGAATTAGAAACACAAAGTTTAATAAAATAAATGAAAAAACAAATTGTGTATGAATATAATGAAAAACAAAAAAAAAACCAACAAGATATGTAATTGCTTGCGTACTTAGATACTTAGGGTACTTACGTGTGTATCCAGCAACGTCAGGCACGTGTAGCATTAACCGCTGAATTCCACCAGCGGTCAGTGCGACGTACCCTCCGTTGACGAACAATACATTGCCAACCAACAGTGATCGATAAATCGACAAATTGACGAGCACCCTAATTGTCATCGTCTATTTCTACTCGAAATCAAGCCGAACAAATTGAAACAAAAAAAAAAAACCATCTCACCACTCGGTACCTCAATTCCAGCCGAAACTCCTTTCTGGAGTAAAAAAAAATCGAGAGATCCAACCACAAAAAAAGTCTAAATATAAAAAATGGATTTCACCGGTGGTTGGTAATCGACCAAATGAGCTCTCAACAACTGAAAAACCTCTTAAACATGCATAACGATCAAAAGAGAAGAAAAATCTCCCGCAAGTGGCAAATCGAGACACAAGCTGCACTTGAGAATTCAATCCACCTGCTGATATCAGCCAGAGGAACAACACGAGTAAATTTAAACTCCACTAAAAGATCATTAATCCCACGAAGAAATGGAAAAATCGAAAAAACGTTCACACCATAACACCCTTCCACTTCCCGATCTTCAAAAAAATATTAAAAAAATATCCAAGTATAAAAAACGAGGAGTTAACCACGAGTTAAGCAACAAATAGCGTGTCATGAACTCACCGAGTATTCCCTCCCCTCCCAATTAGTAAAACTCTCACCGCAATAACCACATTATCACGACAAAAGCACAAAAAGAAATAAAATCACGAAAACCCCCGAAATGCGCTCCCCACACCCTCGACAACTTACAATCTTGCCCTCATTAAACTTCCCATCAGCCACCGAACAAATTCCCTTCGCAGTATTCTTCTGATACTTGCTGGCAATGATATCAGCAGCACTGGGTTTGACCTCGCCATTGGGCCCCCCAACTTTGCCATAAGCCTCTTCAATAGCTGAGTACTTCATAATAAGTCCCTGAATCTCCTTGCGCTTAGCCTCCCTCTCGGTGATGGCCTCGTCCTCGATGGTATCTGGAATTCTCTGAGTAGGTGTTCTATCGGGATCGGCATTGGTGTCTGTTTCCTTGCGTTTGAGCCTGCCAAGGGTGCCCTCGAGCTGTTCGCTCTTCCCCGAGCGATGAAGTGGCCTGACTTTTCTGCTCCTGCTCTCAGTTTGGCCGGACTTGTGTCTACCATATCTCCTGATCGATTCACCCGTCAATTGATTCGACCTGTGTCGATGATAACCCGGTGTCTTCTCCCGTTTAACTCCACTCGTACTTACATAAGGATATGCCTTCTCACTGAGAACAACAATCCTTGGCTTTGGCTCTGGCTCCAGGGTCTTCTCCTCGCGGGTAAACGGACTCAACTCATCCCTCACGTACACGTCGTTATCGTTTCGATTGTTATTCCGCTTGTAATTATTATTAGCTGCATCGCCATCCTTTCTCCTGGAGTAACGATCCAGTATCGACTGGTACTTGTCTTCCAGACGACTTCTTGTTGAGCCAAGATCACGAGCTGGACGCACTGGTGAACGAGCGACTGTTGATTGTCTGTCTACAGTGTTGGAGGGGCCACGTACACGAGTGGTTAATCGCTGGAGGAGATTTGAACAGGAGTCACTCAACAGCTGGGTGACACTAGCTGTTGATGAGCGGGTGTAACGATTACGACGAGACGTCGAGGGCTGACGGGACGACGATGAGTTATCTCGAGGTGTAAACGCAAACATTTTTCCTACCAAGGGGTTGACCTCTTGCCCAACGGCGACGATTGAGTTGTGACGGTCGAGTTAAACTTGGATTTCACGAGGGAAGGTTTTTTTTTTTATTTATTCAAGGTCCTCTACGATTTTTCCTAATTTCCTTAATTGCCTTAATTTCCTGATTTTCTTTTACTCAATTGATTAAGTTGTCCACTGATTTTTAATGTTTCTTTTTTTTTCAATTATGATTCTCGTTTAGGTGGTGAGGTCTAGCCTCGAGATTTCGTTATTTTAACAACATTTTAATGGATTTTTTTGGCACTTGTGGATTTAGTGTCCCGAGGGGAAGTTGTTTTATCGGTAACGCACGTCGATCGAGTGATGTCCACCTCGACGACGACAAACGACGCAAGACACCGCGATTCAGAAGTGGTAGACGAGGACGGGGGCAAAACTGTTTCACCGCGCCAAATACTGTTGGGATGGTATACTAAAAATAAATTTTCAGAGGAGACTGTGCAAGCTAGTCCACGTATAACCAACGAAATAATGCGTCCTCAGTTGATTCTGTGGGCCAAGTGAGATGGGTACAGGTTGGGGAAGGTATCAGGGGTGGTGGAAAAATTGAGAGATGCAGAGGAGACGAGGGGAAAATGGATGAGCAATGGCGACACCGCATTACGTAAATTTTAATCGTTTTTAGTTTTTCGGATGGCGAGGCGTCAGCTGATACAACCGACCACTCCAGTGCAGAAAATTCGTAATTTTGGAGTTCACTAATTATTTGAGAGGTGTAATTATTCGCCAGGGAAATTGGGAGGAGCCAGTGGGATGGTTTAGAAGGAAATGTCAAGGCCCGACATCTTCTCCTAGAATATTCCGCTTTAAAGGTGGAAAACCGCAAGTTAAAGTGACTCTATCCTTATGATAAATCCAAAAATTACAACCGCCAAAAAACGTCAGAAAAACGTCTATCATAATTAAAGATGGAGAAGTGAATTTTTAATCATCTGTTTTGCAAAGATTCCACAACCAATTAATAATCGAAGAATCTTTGGGAAAATATGAATGTCCTGGGGAATTTAATTTCGGAAAACTGACTGGGTCAGATTTTGTTGCAATTTTTCTCATGCAATTTCGAAGAAATTTCGAGAAGAATGGAAAATGGAGAGAACTAAACCGTTTCACTTCACTGGTGAATCACGACGGAAGCGAGAAACTTGACGAAAATCACGATCTCTCAGGGGACAACCGCGAGTGACTAGGATATTAAAAAAAATCAATTTTCAAGTTCCTCCCAGCTACTTAGTCCCGATAGAAACCCCAAGTGGGCGGTTTTCGTGGTCTTCGTCGTTTAAACTATTAATAATGTTTGAGTGAGGTATATTTTCAAGGTTGATGGCTGTATCCACTCTTCCCATCCTCAGTTGAAGTTTGTTAAGATCGAGTGGTTTATCCCTCGAGTATAAATAATTCCCAACGGCACGGATAATTCACGTACAATCCCAAGATAATTGAATTTTTCATCAATGAATTCTCAACTCACTTCTTCCTCGAGAATATCACATGGAACTCCAACAGCCATTTTAACAGCTCTCATTAGTCGTGAATTTATTCCAAGTGCAAGGGCGACCATCATCCCACCACCGAATAACCTGGATTCGAAGAAATTAGTTCAACAGCTTCTCGATTCCCGGACAATCTCGCAACAAACGACAGGTTTTCCAAAAATGTGAAGAGACATTTTCCCCGTGAATTTTCACCGCGACAAAAAAGTCTCGGGATTTTCACCCAGAAAAACTCGCCACCTCGATAAATCCATAACCGATGAAGACGTCAGATTCAACTCATTACGTTCTACCACTCACTCGTACGATTAATTCCCGTGCTTTACACACGCCGATACAGTCTTCTGGTGTTCTTGGAGATATAAAAAAAAAATCCCTCTCCTTGATTCACTGGATAACTCACGCAGTCTCAAGTGAACTGTACGCCTCCGACCGATACAAACTCGTCTTGTTTTTCCACTGCTATCATTTCATCCAGTAGCTGGGAGTAATTAATCAAGTGACGTTATTTCTCCGATTTTTCATCTCCTCTTTCTCTCCCTCTTGCAGTCCCCTCTCAATCGGGTCTCCTTATTTAAACGTAGGTGTGTGCAGAGGCCGAAGATATATCGAGGCATTTTCACTCCGATGTATCATTAACTCCCCAACGACTCCATAAAAATCAGAAAAAAAAATATCCCAGTTGATTAAAACGACGATTTAATAACTACTGGTTCAAAGCCGCTAATTTCCCTAATTCCATTCGACTAATTGGCTATTGACTGCTTGTCCACACGATCCAATAAAAATCCCTCCATAAAATCCGTTATAATTTCTCGTTATCCAAAAATTTATCTGACCCTAACAAATTCAATCACCAGAAATGATTGTTTTTATACGATAAACCCGAAGCTAGTTGACGAAAAAAAAAAATCTGAAAAGCCCAAACAGTAGCCAAATATAAACGGCAGAGTTAACACGACTGTATTCATGCGTTGGACGATCGCCCGTGTGTTCGAATGACCGCGTTGCAACGTGCCAATGGAAATTAGTACCACGTAGATATTAAAACACCCAACAAACGCCTTAAACCTCAAAATTTCGCAATTAATCGTTGATCGTGAGCCCCAGGAGTGATTAAATCACAGGATGAATGAGCCGATACGAGCCAACGATCACACGAAAGCCGAATCCAATCACAACTGCACAACAACCGGTGACAATCATGACTGCAATCACCAGTACAGACCATTGACCACCAAAATTCCCAATCAATCAATCAAATTAATGACAAGAATAAAATAGATAAACTCCATTGATTGGTATTTGAATATTGATATGCCGATCACTCCCTGGTTTTCACTACCTCATTATCCGAATCCGAAGTGACATACTGTCGCTGGATCCAGCTGTTCCAGTACCTCTTGCTGCTGGAGTGATGATGACGATCAAAGATGCCCTCCCTGTCATTACCGAGACGAATATCGTCTGGGTTAAACCCACTTGGATCTCTCCTAGCCATTTATCCAGGCTGACCCCTGTCAATCAATTCACCCTCTCATCACTTCGTCACTTATTTATCCTCGATAGGGTGAATTTATAATAATAATCTACACGTTTTCTGATGATATCGTGAGATCGACCTGTCGGTCTTACCACCGACGTGTTCACGACGACGGCCATCTGGCCGTAACACTAACGTGAAAACCGCTTGCACCCAACACTGGGGGCCCCACAAAACCACGAAAATAGTCCTTAGACCAAAATAAACGCTTTTTCGAGAAAAGAAGTTTAACCTCGTTGTTGGCTTTCACTGTATTCACTGATTCATGTGGATCTCTAGGTGTCTTTTTTTTAAGGGGACACTGTACCGCAGTAATTTTATTATTTTTTTATTATTTTCACTTAGGAATATGTTCGGGTAATGAGAGCAATTGGAAACTGTCGGTTTTGTTTTTAAAGCCAAGGAGAATAAAATTGCTTTGGGGATTTTTTTTTCGCCGATTAACACCAGAGAATCGTTAGAGTGCTGTCGGTTGAATTGTTATTTCTCGGTGATAATTAACGATTAATTATTTATTTTTCTGTGATTTCCACTTCGTATCATTCTGCTTGACTTGTATCTTGACACGCGACTGTAGAAGGCGTGTCCCCACACCCGGTCTACCCCTCGATAATAATAGTCTTTGGTGGAGTCATCGTTCAAGAATCGCCATGGATTTTGCGTGGGAATAATCCACTGTCGATGAATTTATCAATCAATTGATTTGGGGCTTCGGGCGATTTGTTTACTGGAAGGAGGGAGTAAAGCTCGATATTTACACCTCGAGTTTATTTTACGGTGAAAATTAGATTTCAAGGCCCGACGAGTGTCGAAGAATCGTTTTGTTTATTTCCTGATTTCCATGCGAACGTGACTGAGTAAGAGTAGAGGGTGCAGATCTCTCACGTATTGTTGAATATCGGATTTTCTCGATAAGAAATGATTTTCGATACGAGACTTAAATTAATGAACATGCCAGAATGCACGTTTGACGTTTTATCAGTTTGCTACTGGATTTATGTTTAGATTTTACCCCGATAACGAGAAACGCGACGAGAACGTGATATTTATTTTCTGTGGATTTTACCAATTTTTTTTAATACGAAAAAATAGAGAATTCATGTCTTGGTGTTTTATTTTCGATGTTGAGAGCTCGTGAGATAGTTTTTTTGAGGATTCTAATGGATTATAATTGAAATCAGTAAAATCACTGTGGTGGCAATTATTGATGAAACATAACAAGAGCAGATTAAGGAAGGTCGTTTTATTGGTACTGACCGGGCTCCTTGTGGATGGTGATCTGTGACGATGTCTGGACGACTCCTGGCTCGGTGATGACGAGGCGTGATGATGTCTTGTCTTTCTGGTGCGTGCAGGCTGATTAGTGCGTCTTGTTTCACGTGTTGGACACTGGGGTGGGTGGGCTCTACCACGATCAAGATCACGGTGTCCATGAACGTGTGACGATTGTTGGCGACCACTGCTTGGTGATCTCCTGTGGCTACGTTTGTAGCGTCTCTCCACACTTGTGCCACGCTCATGTTGACGAGACCTCAGAACTCTCTCTCCACTGAGCAAAAAACCACAAAAAAAAAATTAATTTCATAAATATCTTTCAAAAATTTCAATTCCTGCATAATCCTAGAAATTTTCAGGACAGTCTCTCTTACAATTTTGAGATTTTTACTGATGGAATGATCTTCTAGATGCACGGGCTTTCGAGATAATTCGACACCTATTTGAACTTCGGTATATCGAGCTTTATAAATTTCCTCTCGATTTTTCTGGTTCGCGGAAATAACAAAGAGGAAAATCTTATGAGTCACTTCCGACAAATGACGTAAAATATTGTATTTGTGATACAATTTTATCGGACTGAATTAATGAAGCGTCTCAGGTGATTCTGTACGTTGGAACAGATCCAATGGCCTTGATGCAACTTTGGGATGAATTTCAGAATAGATTAAATGGGTCATCTCGTGATACATCTCAGGAAGTGAATTATTTTGGAATACATCCCCCCAGTCAACACACCGTGTTCACAACTCAACTCTCCAAGTCGATGAATAATAACAGATGAATTGAGATGAACCAACACACTGATAAATGCTAATTACTTGATGTAATTTTAAGATTATCGTTACCTAGGCATCCAGGTGGCAAGTGATACGTAGAGTACTGGCATGTCTCACGGATTCCTGTTTACAAATCCTCATTTAATCAACTAATTAATAATAATAAACGCAGAAAAAAAAATAATGCTACTCTTAATCTCCTCCACAAACCAATGAAGAGAAATTGTGTATGAAACGCTTTCGCTGTTGCTCATAAACACCTGTGGAAGCGTGAAATAACATTTCTAGTGAAGGTGGAAGTTGATTGATTCGTGAGAGTAGTCAGTTGCTCGGTTTATGGTAGAAGGAAGGTGAATGAGATGAATTTAATGTGGAGATGTGAGAAATAATGGCAATCAAGGACCACACGTCGAAGGAATTTCAGCGATACGATCCATTCGACGGAGGACACTACGTCCTTCTACTCGGATTTCGGAATCGTGTTCACTTTTCGTCCTCGATTTTATCGAAGAGTACAGATATGCGGGAGATTAATGTATTTAGCCTTTTTTTTTAACGTGTCGAGGGTGGATTAAGAGCTCCAGTGATTTAATTAGCTGTCTGCGGATTGTAGAAGCTCGGTTAATTAAATTGTTGGAGAAGGTAAAAAGTCGACAGAGGGAGGGGGTGGGGTAAGCCCATTCGAGTGACAGGTTTTCCTCTTTTCCCCTTTTATCAACCTGTTCGATTTCATTTAAAATTATTGAGTCATTATTGAGTGAAAATCAGTGATCGGCTGTAGAGTTATTAAAGCGACTAATAGAGTTATTAATAGAGAGGGATTAATAGGTATTATTCGGTAGAACTATTTCATATTTCAAGATTAATTCTAATCTCTCGATTTCAATTACTGAAGAACGGTAGTGCAGTTGGATAAGCCATTAGAAGGAAGTCGGGCTCAGATAACAGAGTCGCTATTGTCCACAATTCCGACTGGGGCTATAAACCCATGTACCAGTGAAGATACACATCTCCAGAAAACCCACGGGTGTTTTTTAAAATGCGTGTTCTTTCGGTCTTGTACCGACGCCTTCAAAGTCTCAATTTCCTTCAATTTCCCGTGCACTAGTCTATCGCCAAATGCGTTCTTCCGGTAACGCCAAAGTCAGAAAGTTGATGGCCGATTTATTTATTCTATTTGTCCGGGTTGTTCTGTTGGTACGCGATCAATGTACCAATGAATTTTCAATGACACACGTGTGTAAAAAAATTATAAATCGAATTCCTTTTGAGATCAATAATTTCTTAGATCAATTGATATGTAACAAAACTGTAAATTTCGAGTTATCGGACTTTATCACTTGAGCTACTGACTTGAGCGAAAACAAAACAATTTGAGATTAATCGTCGTCACTGCAGAATTATCCGCGGGAGGAATTGGAAAGCTCGAGATTTCTCGGGAATAAAAACGGAAAAAAGGAACTGAGGAAAGTGATAGCATTCACGGAACTCACGGGGCAATGATGATGAATGGGTCAAAATCGATAATGAATTTTGAGGAAGTATGACGAGGATATTGAATTTTTTCTTTTTAACAAATGGGGAATGTGGAATTAGGTGAAATAATTACTAATAGATATCCGTAATTAACAATCAATATTGATTCCAAATCAACCAGAATTCGACGTTTGTTCAGTTAAAAAACTGCACAAGAATTTATATATCAACAAAAAAATCCGCTACTCATACCTTTAGACTTCGTAAATACCACAATGTCACTCGAAAAATAAAACTAGGGTTTCTACACGATTATGACTGACGTGAACTATCCTCTCGTAAATGTAGAAATTGAAACGAATGAACTTAATTGGTGGTACTCGAAAAAAAGAAACAAATGGAAGATAAGAGAAAAATTCCACGTTAGTGAGGACTCGAGATAAAAGAGAATCTTCAACGACAGCCAGAGATTAACTACTGCTCCAATTAATCTGACAGTTCAATGAATTAAAATTTTAATGTCTCCCTTTAACACTAATATTAATTGACAGGAGCTAACGAGAATACAAGTTGTACTCTCGTCAACTCACGAGCGTCAGTCTGATACTGAGGCGTTCTGTGGTGAAGTAACACATACGGGGGGAAAATAAACGCCAAGTGGAGGCTAAATGGAAGGGATTCAACGGCATTGGCCTTCCAGACACTAACACTTCAAACCCCGAAGGCTTCCGCACAGACAAATTGCCAGTGTTTAACATTTGTCATTGCCAAATGGATGATTTCGAATTGATTGATTATTTTCTTCTGCCAATTGCTGGTGTTCACTGTTACCGCCCACTCGGTCCTATCATTTGATCAGAACATGAGAGATATGCACGATTCAATTTTTTTTGTCTGCATTATCCGTGTGAAATTCCAAAAAATGTTATTTTACAATTTTTTCAATCCCGGAAATTGATGCTTCAGATATTTTATCAAAATTATGTACAAAAAACCTCTTTCGATCCATAAAAATGCATTTAATGTTCCTAAAGTTGACCATTACGTCAATTTTAATGCTCGCCTCCCATTTCTACCCACTCAGTAATTTTTCTATATTTCTATGACCTCAAACCTCTATTATCAAACGCTATTTCGTGAAAATTAAAACAACAGCAATTTTTTGTACTGACGTTTTTTCTGGTTTTCAATGAGTTTTACAAAAAGTTTCAGACAATAAATTCATTATCAGCCTCAGTTACGGAGACATTGTCGAAAAGATAAGTCAACTACCCTTTGGCTACTGACGACGTTTTCTCTTTTGTTCTTTTAATCAGTGAAGTCATGTCCGATAATTCCACCCAGTTCAATGTATTTTCGGTAGGCTCTTTGACGGCTGGGTGGACAAGAGACTAATCATTGCTCAGTAAATCACGATAAAAGGAGAAAGGAGATCGTGTTTCTGATGAATTGCCGAAGCAAGGAATTCCCACCTGTACGTGCCCTTGCTCTGGGGGCTCTCGTAATCGATTCGCCTACGTTTGTGCTCGAATTGCGGTTCATTTGCTGAGTGAGAGCGAGACCTCGAGTGGGTACGCGAGCGATGACGCCTTCTGGTTCTCGGCATCTGAAAAATTCAATATTTTTACTCATTATTTCATCGGCTACAAATTCAATCACTTTTTGTCTGTAAAAACTACCACCATAAAAGACTAGAGGAGAAAAATAATAAAGATGACTAAGTGCAATAATTAACTCGGTGATAGCTCTAAATTTTATTCCACAGTATTATTACCCCTCGAATATTACGTTCTTTATTAATTAATTATTGTGTTCCAGACCTGCAATAAACTTTTAATTATTTCAAATCAGATCATTCTTGGAAGGTCGTGAAATTAATAATTGGAGGTTACAGAGGGGTAATTGCTAATGAAGAATAAAATTAAAAAAAAAAAACTATGGGTTCATCCGCGAGACGAGGGATTTTGAGACGTGAAAAATTGTCCTGTCAGTCTACTACGGATTTTGCGCGATGAGGATTTCCCTTTCACGCTTTTAAAGGAAGAGGGGAAACTAGACGAATAGATCTTAACGAGACTACTTTAGGGTCGAGAGAGAAGGTAAACAGATGCGTTCCACAAGCATTTTCCCAGTACCAGAGTAATCCCAGGTGTTCACTCGGCATTCAATGGTCTACGAATACTCAATTCAAACTCTCATCCCAGTGTTCTCTCCTCACTTAGCATTTCTCGTGTCCGAGACGTTTACTTACGTTGGGACGACGAAATATGCTTGCTTGATTCCAAATGTAATTGAAGATCGACGATATCCAAGAGCGTGACGACGATTGCTGTATGACACTTTTACTTGACAATGACGATGACATCGGCTCAACACCTCTGGAAAATTTTCCTCATTCTATACCCGAGAGTTGATTACAATTGAGAACTTGCTCCGATTTTTAATGCAATGATAAATAATGATTTGATGGATAAACGGGCTCAATTAATTTGAAAAACCTCTGATTTGTCTCCATAACTCAAATAAAATCACTTTCTAAAAACCCCTGAGACTTAGAATGACAACAACTACCCCTCCACTCAATCCACCCCCCAAAACAGGAATACCAAGCCTTAGCCTTGTATTTTGGCCTCACCCCCGAAAAAAAAAATCTTGGAAAAACCCTAAAAAGACGCCACGAGTGCCGAACAAACGCGTAAGCCCCGAATTCCAAAAAAACTCGAGGATTCCAACCTTGAACCTCCAGCTGTCCATCCAATAAATGAATTGCTAGTCTTCCCCTCGGCTCCACATGTGCAGTAAAATTCCGAAAAACTCCAGAAAAACCGAGGAAACAGATGATACCAACTCTCCCCTAAATTCACACGCGTTAACTCAACTACAGGAGCAGCAGTAGCTCGAAGCACGCCATAAGGTATGACGGCACTGTCGCCGCCATCTTGAAGGTGGAGACTAATAAAAAAAAAATCTACATCCCATCGTAATTGGATGAGATGGAGAGATACGAAGAGAGAGAGAGAATTGCAACGCAGGCGCAATCATGGAGTAATTGTCTATGATATCATTTTTCTCTTTTGCTCTATTCCTTTGGAGATGAGATAGCCACGAGATTTCACGTTTTGGACAGAATCCCAGGTTTTAACGGACGTTTTTTTTTTCAATTTTTTATTACTGAGGAGTTACTCACGTTCCACACGTAAATCAGGCTCAGCTGATGCCAAATGTAATTACAAACACTTGATAACCAGGACTGTGATGTATCGGAACGCAAAACACTATTGTGTGTCAACGACGTGGACATTGGATCAATGCGATTGGCTGGTACTCGGTTATTTGTTCGGGTTTCTTCGATGGCACGAAGCGCATAACCGGAAATTAACGAACATTGACGATTTTAGACCGGCAAAAAGTCACTTCGTTGCCCGCCAAATCTAAAATCCGGAGGTGGAAGTGGAATGAATCATGAGATCAGATTATTCGTAGTGTATCTTTGAGATTAATGTAGATTTTATATTAAAAGTGTTGGGGGAATTTGTGTCGAAAAATTGTTAGAAAACGAAATGGACCAGATCGGGGTGGATGGATGTTCTTAAAATAAATATGCGGATTATGGAAAGAGTGAGTGTAATTTCGGTCTGAATTCCAGACCTTTTTTTTTTTTGTGAAAAGATATTTTTGAACTGGAGTCCATCGGAAATTTGAGTGGCTCTCTCTGAATTTTTGAGGATTTTTTTAGGGAGAAAAGGCAAAACGATTGTAGGGAAATATTTATTGAGAATTGAGAGGTAAAATAATCCTGATTTTAATCAGACGAGTGGTCGATCAGTCACTCGAGTCTGATTTGGAATTGAAATATTAATCGAGTGATTCGTCAGCAGCACATGTGCGGATAAAAATAGACGATTATAATCCGAACAAAGAGGAATCTCGACGGAGTGAAAAAAATGGTGTCCCAAGGACAGCTCCAGTAATAGTCAAAATTTCCAAAAAGAAAAGCCAAAAAATGTCAGATTCCGATGGGCCGAACTCCCCGACAATTGAACAATCAGTCAACAAATATTTTGGCGGTTAACCCTAAGTTCATCGTAATCTCTCTTATCTCGCGAAACACGTCCTCCGTTACTATCACCAATGCCTTCCCTGTCCTCAATCGAAACCTTAAAAAAATCGTGTTTACCTGTCCCAGAATCCAATACCGAAATGTTCCCTCGATTGACTCAAACAGATATTCAAAAAAATCACGTAACATTTCACTTTCACAAATGTATTTCGGATATCACGGACACTTGAGATGTTATTGTCGGCATTTCTCGAAGAAACACATGGACGAGATAAAAAAAACTGCCAGAGTCCGATGACCCACTCAGGACTGGGTTAATTCCAGATGGCGACACCACTAAACCCCGCGAATTTTCAAACTACCCCCTCAATAAATTCGGCCCGTGAATTTTCCCCACTAAATCGTAGAAATTTCCATCATCTCGCAATTCCCTCAATTAATCTCAATCGATTTCTCCAAAAAATTCACACCTGAAGGTCCAAAAAATTCCAGAGATGTACGCAAAAATGAAAATTTCCGCGCAATTACCTTATGATTAAAACCAGAATAATTACCCAGAACCATTACCTTGATTCCCAAAGAAAGAAATGATAATCTCTGATTATAAAACTCGTGTGGCTCCTCCGAGGACTGACATCTATCGTACCGTCCTCCCCTGGACTTCCAGGGTCCGCCCCAGGTGAGATCCCGTGCCTGAAAAATCCCCGAATAAATGATAAAATCCCTCGTAATTCCCATTATCGATCCCAAGCCAGCAATGCCACAAATAACTGCACATGTACGCAGTCACGAGAGCCTCCACAAAAATCTATCCCCCCTGATCTCCTACCCCCGTTAGGATTTCAATCAATACTCATCCCCAGAGCAACATCCCCAAGAAAATCCCCCAATAAACTCTACCACAATACCTTACTGACTGTTGAATAATTGAGCTGCTGTCTAACTCTTCCCAATATCCTTGCAATGCTCCCAATCATCTTCCACCCACATTCCAATCACCACTGGATATTCATCCCTCGTGTACGTCCTCTTCTCAGCACATGCGCCAACCCCCAGTCCTCCACAGGGGTAGATAAAAATCTGGGATAAATGGAAAAAATGTCAACTATCCGCAACCCCCCAATTGCGCCAATTCCTCTGACATTTCCAGGAGATGCTCCAGGGAAGGAAGTGGTGGATCTGGTCGATAAACACGAGATGTGAAACTGTGGAGAATGGAGTCAAGAGGCTGAGGGGATGGAATTGTAACCTTGGTGAGGCAGAAAGGGGATGGTGGGTTGAAGGGTGTGAAGAACTCGGTATGATACCAAAGCTCTGGGCACTGTGAGCTGTGCAGGCGCGCAATGCAGATGTGTCTGTTGAATTCGAGGTGACACAGAGGAAATTGTTTAAACAAAAAAATACAACTGTCAGAGAACTGGCGGTTATTGTGGCTCTCGTTGTTATGGTGGGTGGGGTAACACTCGTGTGTCTCAAATTTATCAGCAAGGGTCAGGGGTGGAGAACCAATTCCGAAAATTTGAGGGATGATGCTTTTCTCAAGGAGTGGAGTGATATGCCCAGGCATTTGCAGTTTAATCCGCATATTAGAACTGGGTACAGACCTCTCACCAGTGCCAGTGGGTGTCTTAGGAGTCTTTTTTATTTTCATAATGAGACAGTTAATATCATGACGCATGGTGAGTTCGACTACAAAAAATCCCCATTTTTCTATTCCAAATTACAAATTCGAAAATTCGACAAGTTACATCACTTTTATAAATATTTGGGTACATGTCGATTTTCCTGTAATCGTAATTGTAATTGTTCTTTTCAATAATTAATCGCTGATTTTATTGAAGTGGAAATCAGTGATTGAACATTTTTTATTCTTCACAACGAATTTTCAGAATTAATTTCAAAAATTCTTCTGACTTCCACCTTTGTTCCGCTCTGTTATTTTTTTTTATATAAAAAAATTACTCGTGGGTTCTGCAATCCGGAGATGAATTCACAAGTAATTGTTTTTTAAAATATAAATCATCCGGAGTAAAGGGGTGGCACGTGGAAATGTAAGTGGATCACTCCATGGGATTGGGGTCAAGGTCGGCTTAGATAACTCCGGGTCAATTCTCGAATAGAATAGACCGGAGTGACGGAGGGGTTGAGGATGAGGCGGAAGCGATGGAAGGGTTTAAAATGGATTTCATGTCTTCTTTCATTGCCCCCCTCTCACCTCTTTGGCTCAAGGTTTCGCCATTCTCTGCATCCTGATAACGGTCCCTTATTGCTTGCCTTGGAGCGATGAAGGTGCCTTTTATGGATTTCTATCCTGGTGTCATCTGATCGGGGCAGCCAGCCCCTGGCTAGGATCCTTTTTGTATCATCTGTTCATGAACTTGGATCGTGGAGAAGCCGTTTATCGAAGATTACTCAAGCTCGACATGCTGGGGATTTGGGTTGTCCAGAGTATTGGTGAGATCTCAACGCAATATTGAAAATTACCCCGGAAAACAATTTTTTTAAACAAATTATTTACAATGAATTTCACTGCATTTTGTTGCTGAAAAATCAGGTACCGTCTTAAATTCTCAGCAAAATTTCAATCTATGAAGAAAATCAATTGAATTCAAATGAAAATCAAATTAACATTTTCGTATTAAAAATATCGAATAGCGATTGATTAACTCACTTGACACTTGTCACTATATTGATTTTTTCCATTTTTAGAAAAACATTCCCCGTTGGTTCTAAAAAAAAATTAATCAATGGTAATAAATTCCCGGGATTAGAAAAATTACTGAATATTCTCCGAGAGAAGTAATTGCGCTGAGTATAATTTTTTGAATGTCTGCATAGCAAGTGAAGTTAAACTAATGTCAAAGACTAATTTCATGGGCGAGAGAAAATCTCTTGACATCTCTAAATTTAGCAATTGGCTTCGTTGACGAGGGTATTTAATTAAAATAGGTGTTACAGAGACAACGCAGGATCTATTCTAATTTCCTCGTACCCGCGGGCTCTCAAATGACAAAATTTGCCCAAAAAATCTCTCAAAATTAGTCAATTAAATATTAGTTAAATTTCCTCCAATTATCAAGTAATATAATTAGGAATAAAAAATGAGTGAACATTTTAAAATTAGTAAGAGTATAAATATTTATTAGTGAGCCGAAGAATTCCGTTACCTTGAGTATCGGAGTAATTAGGAATTGGATTGATTGATGGCAGGTGCAATGCCGTTCATATCAGCTTCGATTCACTGTCTTCCTGGAGGACTGTGGCATGCCTGCATGGCCCTGTACATTTTCCTGAGCCTGTGGGGTCTCTCAAAGGCAACTGCTCTACATTTCTATCATCAAAGCCCATTGAAGGGAATTGTCTAATAACACTAATTTCTCAATAGGCCATGAGGGCTACGTCACCTTGGGAACGGAGATTATGCTTCTCACCACCATTCATGATGAGAATGATATTTCTCACTCTCAGGTGCTTCCGGATCGGTGGTGGAAATCCTCAGGCACTCAGACACGTTGTACTCCAGGTGAAAATTATGTAAAATCATATTCTTTGAATTCGTGGTCGAGTGACTTTTACGGGGCTTTAAACGGATTACAGTAACAGAGAGTCTCTCGGGATTTGTAGTAGAATTACTTGGAATTACTTGGAAAGAAAAAATCGGTTAAATTTTGATTTTTGATTCAGATGTCAATAAATCACAATAAAATACGTGCGAAATTAAAAAAAAAAAAATTGTTTTCGCCCGGGTTCGAACCGGGGACCTTCCGCGTGTTAGGCGGATGTGATACCCGACTACACTACGAAAACCTGAAAGAATGTCTTGAACTAAATCCTATAACCGCAGCACTGACTCAACTCTAATAATTCTAGATAAACGTTATCGTCGATAAACATCCTCAATTGAGAGACTCCATAATTTTGATAATACTCCAAAAATGTAATCTCTTAAAATGCAAAATTATTTTGAATTTAAAACCCTTTATAAATGCTGAATGGGATGAGATAATTAATTAAAGAGAGACTTTTTCGAATAAAATTAAAATGAACATTTTATTGATGAAAATTAATTGTTACAATAATTTCTTATGAATTTCAGGATTTAGTCGCGGTGATAGGCGGAACGATAGGCGCCCTCCGAATCCCGGAGAAGTGGCTGTCAGGCCAGGTGGATCTTGTCCTGAATTCCCACAATATAATGCACGTGGTTGTTGTGCTTGCTGTGTGGTCAATGCACTCAGCAACAATTCAGGACCTGAATTGGATGATGAATCCATCAGCCTGTCAAGCTCTCTCGTCTCTCCGTCACGACGAGCTCTAACTCCTATTCAAAATAATTTCCCCATCGTCATAGGGGAGATGTTGAGGAATCATCTCAGACACTGTGATTAGACTACCATAGGTGGGAAATTTATAACTGTGATTTTTTAATGGGAATGAGTTTCTTGTTGAATCAAGCACATCAAAAATATCTTTATTGTACAGATTACCCTTTTGATCATACCGAAGTCGTTTAATCGTCATTGAGGTCCAGAGATCGATCGAAATTTGTTTACCTCGTGTTTGGTAATAGAATGACTCAGATATTCCACGAGTCCTTGAAAATTCATTCATCTTTCGATCGGATTAGATTTTTCGTCCGGTTTGGAGTATCAAGAGTACGATGATAGAGCTAATAATATTTCCATTGATTAGAATTAGAGAAAAATTTATAAAAATGCAACTTCATTTTTATGAATAAATGATCACAGGCATTCCAAGGAATTTAATCAGCCAGTTTCAATTTCACATTGGCGAGAAGAGACAATTCCAATTTTAGTTACAATATGTTCGATCTCTCACTCTCATCAATTACAAATTTACAGAAGTACTTAGTAATGAAATTCATCGTTTCTAAATATAATTAGGTCATAGCAGTTCCATCGAAAATTATTTAAATGTTGAATGATTTGCCGTTTTATGGAATTCAGAAAATTTTACCATTTTTACGATTCATCTCTCATCGATAAATATTTTATACCTTGAATAGTGCATTAACTGAAAATGTGTTACTTAACTGGAAAAATATTTGGCTTGCGAAATCTATTGAATTATTTTCCAATCAACTGTCTCCGAGTAAAGCTTATGATAGTTGAACTTTTCATGACTGGTGTTTTTATTGAACCTTTTCATTTATTTTCCATTTTCTTAATCAATTGAACCCTCAGATCAAAATAAAATACACTAATAGAATTCAACAATATTCAATATTTTTCATATTAACGAATAAAAAATATTTAAATGCTGATTACAATGAATTAATTCATTGAAGTGGTGCATCACTCTCTAGGGTGTAACTTTTAGCTCGACTGAACTTGAACGATGGATATCGTCCCGATGAATTCAGACACGTCGTGCCCTCCTGACCATTTTTGTACTTTGTGAATATATTGTAGCGAACCCAATTCAGTTGGAAATTAGCTCTCTTCTGGTTCGTCTGTATCTCGAACTCCTGCGAAATAAACGCGAGAATAAATGAACAAGCTTTATAGAAAAATCAGACATTGCACTCACAACATGAAATGTTTGTTCTCCACTGTCATGCACGACTTCCTTCCTCTTCTTCCTATAAACATTGTTATTTGATCTGATTTCCTGTTTCTTCAATACAAGGGTAACCCGATTCTCATGCAGCCTGTAATAACCAATCAATATATTTGGATTTCTGGGATGACGACTCTTCAATAAATTCACACAGCTCTGAGCATCATCCGTCGATGTCAACATGAGCACTCGGCCCTCTGGAAAAAATCTGGAAATACAAAAATCCCAAACCTATTATCAACCCCAAAAATCACAATGAAAAATTAATTGGCAATTGAATTTTTAATCAATCGCATTTTCGAAATGTTTGCAAAAAATTACCTGAGATATCTGAAATATTCTACCAAGTGCCAAGGCCGATAGAATTGATCCTGAAAACTGTTCTCCCCGTGTCTAATGTACGTATTTTTACTAATATAACAGCCGTTGTAGCGTAATCTAGGTCTTTGCAGGTACATGTCCCTCCAGGAACGATATATCGGTTCGAAATCACCGCAGTTAACACCCCAGACTCTCACACAGGCCAATCTCCAAATCTCTGGGTCCCTCGCCGATATGAAAAATCCTCGGCAAACAGCAGAGAACATCTCCAACGAGCGAAAATCAAGATCGGGTGACACCACCCACCGCAGAATGTAGAGTACAATCTCCATGGGCAGAGCAGATATATGTGTTGACTGTATATAATTAATTATTTGATAATCAGTAATTATCGTCCATAAAAATATTCTTCGATAACTCTATCCTAAACTGGCAGCAGTTTGAGGGAGAAAGTTAAAGAATTCCATGCATATAAATTCGGAAATATCTCCAGAGTCAGTAGTTCGGAGGAAAATGGGAAGAGACCTTTCTTATGAACCATCCAACTTTCTACAAAGAACATGTGACATTTTTCCCCAATTACTGGGATAATTTAGACATTGGGAAATCATTACATCGTGCAGGTGAAATCAAAAATTTTTTAATTAATTAAGATATTATCGGAGTAACGAATAATTTGAGGAGTATAATGAGAAGACCCGTTTGAGTTCGTGATTATAAATAAATTTCAAAATTCAATCCCGGCAATTTTTTTTGAATTGCTCCGTGTTTAAATGAATTTCTTACACTTTGCTCGAAGCGCGGACAACAAACGCGCTGATTCTTCACCAAAACTCTCGACAATTTAACGATCAGATTGCCATCTTCGATTTCCTCCTCGCCTTTGACGTCATCATCAGGTGGTTCACAGTCGAAAACGATTGTCTTCTCGTCTTTTTCGAATTTCTCCCGAGCCTTCGGTTTTGTTGACTCGTAGAGTCTAAATTCAATATCAGGCACCAGTTGCACAGCTCTTTTGTAGAACCTAATGGCATCGTACAGTTCTCCATTCTGCTCGTACTCTATACCTTTTAAAAATAACTTTTTTGCCTGTTGGATAACCAAATGAATGAATTTTTCATTTGAAATCTGACGAAAACCTCGCACTCAATGTTTTACCTTATTTTCTATGGATAATTCTTCCTCGATAGTTTCGATGTTCACTGGTTTATTCGATTTATTGAGATCTCTTTTCGGTGAAATTTCGAGTTCTCTCTGCCATTGCTCCCTGAAGCTCGTCAGGGCGTCCTCGACATTCAGCTTCGAGGAAGAAGATTCTTCTTGGTCATCTCCACCATCTCCAGTGCCTCCGTCATCCCCGGAGGATCCACCAGGTTGACTCTGTCGTCAATACATTATTTCAAATGCTCCCGATCGAATTTCAACTGGTTTGAATGATTTTCCTGGTGCATGGATCTATTATGAAGTGACGAAGTGATAAAATCGTGATGAATTGGCTACATTTCCTGATAAATTTTTTGCGTATATCTCCGAATCTTGGAGAAATAGAAAATTTGTGATGGGGAACTTTTTTGAGGTCTTGGTGTGCTCTACAAAAAAGTCCTCCGTGAAATTTTTCTATTTATTCTCATTACCCCAGAAATTTCAAAAATTCAATTCGGAGTCGAGTTGATCTCCCGTTTCACCTGTTTACCATCGTCTATAAAAGTGACCTTGATCACAAATAAAAAAGTAAACACGACGCAGAAGGGAGTCCCCTTCTAAGAAAATTGAATCATCACCTTTAATACTCCTCAAGAGTCGAATGAGGATCGAAAAAAAATGTTAAAAAAACGATTATGCAATAACGAAACTACAAAATTAACGGTATTCTTCAAGTATAGGGATCATATGTTATCACTTGCTTTGAGGTTATGGCGACGTGCCCAGGAATAAATTAAAATGACAGTTGAAATGATGAGGAATTGATTAGAAATAATTATACAAGCATTCACCATAATTTCCGGATTTTCACTGGACTGGGTATTTTTTTCAGCGCACAAATTCTCGGTCAGAAAATCGAACGACACTTCGGTAAGAGAATTTTGCAAGGTGAACCGCCGCCATGATTATTCACCCACTGCACTAACTACTCCAAAAGTTATCTGAAAGGTATGTCTATATCCGGTCCGCAATCCGAGATAAAAATCACTAAAAACTCGAAAAATAAAATATTTCGTATTTTATGGTTTCAATTTTTTCATTTTTTTAATAATTATTCCTCAATTATTATTATTACAGATATTGAATAAAAATGAAATAGAATATAAAAATATTTGTTAAATATATTTATGCAAATATATCCAATAATTCAATTGAATCCTTGAAAAAATGCATCACCTGAAATTATTTTCCCTTTCTCACCGCTAAAATGAAAAATCCCGAGGAGTTTCTGAAAGACTTTCATCACTCAAAAAATCGATGTGAAAAATTTCCCCGCTCCTCCCACCTCCCACCTGCCGGTGAAAAAAAGTCGAAAGCATCGAAGATAAAAAAAAAAAATGACTCCGAAAACCCAACCGATGAAAAACCGTCATAAATATTCATCCAAAAATCCGTTATCGAACGGAGAAGTAAAGAAGAAAAAAAATCAATCACCAACCGCTGGAGAATCTCCTCGAGCTCCAGATAGCTCGTCCCCACGGAATCCCTCAGGAGATGACGCAACTCTCCACAATAATCTCGAACTTTCTTCCCACAAACAAACGATCGCAATAACTCTCCCCCATTAAAACCGAATCGTCACATGCATTATCCAACACGTACTCTCAAAGACTCAGAAACGCCATTCTCAACTCTCCCATTGAAAAAAAAAAATAAACCGATCAGTAAAAAAATGGTCTCAGGGGTGGGCCACCGATGTGGGTCACCGCGAAATACCCAGGTGATTTTGGCACAAACGAAAGTGCCCGAGAGTGTAAAGATCAATATTTTTTTTCACCTCATTTTTTCTGACGATCGAGTTGAGAATGAGAGTGTAGCCCATCCCCTTCCTTTTTTACTCAATCCTGAATCGTTGAAGAAGAGAAGTCTTTTACCACCTCCACCTTTCCCCGATGGAATGGAGGTGAGCTTGTTGGATGCCTGCTGGTACCTAGTCAATCGTCGTGATCATCATCGAGGAGTAAAAGCCGGGACTCACCCGTCGACAGCCCAGAAATCATCATGCGTTTGGTGAGTACATCTTCCTAAATTTCCACTGACGATAAATATTTCTCACCACTCCCATTTTTACCAAAAATTCAAATTCAAATATCTTCCCTAAATTCATTAATTCATCCCATTAATCTGGTGTTTCATCAACGAAATTGTGAACAAGTGCGGAATTTCAAAGAGTGCCGGGCAATTCGCTCTTGGAGTCAACCGAGAGACTATTCCAAGATTATTCCGAGATTATTCCGAGATTATTCCGAGTCATTACCGTGAAAACAGGGAAAGTGATCGAGTATTGTATTCAATTATAATCCCACATTTTTATTGCAGTATTAAAATTATTTTTTTACTTTCTCTGCTAACGTGAAATAATTACGGAGTGCAGTTATGTCCATATTCGCAGTGCATATTTCGTTATGATATTTTCAATCATCCGGAAGAGCAATCGACCACATTTTCATTTTTTTTCTTCCCCATTCCATTTGACAATTATCATTATTATTTATCGCTGAAGAATTCACACGCAAATTATCATTGGGAATGGCATTATTGCAAATAAAAATAAAAAACCATTAATGCCGACCCAATTGCCATTTGGTACAGGCGTGCATCAAGGCTCACACATCGAGCCAGCTAATTACATTTTTCGAGGCTAATTAAGTGTAATTGCGGTACATCGAAAGTCGTCGGGTTTTCAATACAGTAAACATGCAATGGTGTCCACTTGCATATTTGCGATTGGCTTCTCCCCCCGCGAAGAAAGTTAACATCTCGGAAACTTTTTATCCCGTTTAACTCGTTTCGATGGTATTTTTTTATCTCATTATATTTGAGGGCGAGGCCCATCGTACTCCAGGGGGACACATACGCCATTTTCTACGCCCCAGGCATACCTCGACCTCGAGACTCTGACCCCTTCCGTGGAGAAAGTAATTAGGGGGGTACAACCCATGACTCCTCCAATGATCTCTCAATTAGATATGATTATGTCAATTTCACAAAAAAAAAAAAAAAATCGACATCTCCCAGGAAATTCCGAGATCATTGGAAAATTCATTGGATGGGGGAGAGGGTGGAAGGAATTCGTGGAATTTTTAATTCTCAATTGATTCGATTGATTTCAATTCATTTCTACTCAATGAAAAATTTTTTCTGGAGAGTGAAAATATCCCACGAAAAATCCTGACACAATTGGTCTTCTGTGAGTACCTAAAAAAATAAAAAAACGAGATGAACTCAAGTCATAATCTCACGTAATCAATTACCCCCCACTGCAATCATGAATCTATCTAAAAAACGAGACCAATCTCTCTCGTGGTAATAATCTTCATTCCGGTCTCCCCACGCCCATTAATTACAAGAAAATATCGAAATCTCATTAGCTCAGTAAGAATGCAATTGAAACATCCATTAATTCCCAGTCCTCAAATCGATCTCTCGTTTCTCGGTCCATCGATTCTACAGAAGACATAAAACTTCCATAAAAATCGACAGCACGCGTCTAAAACCCAATAATTATCTCGACAAATGATGTAATTTATTCAAATTGATTGAATTCCACTGAATATTTTTTTTTTGCATCGAATGGATCATGCAGTTCTGAAAATGCAATAAACAATAATGAAAATGGAATAAACATTGGATGTGTTGCGCCATCGGACTTCCTCGGCTTTCACCTAGTGCATGTGTGTTTTTCCAATTTCCTCGATTTCGTTTGACAGGGAAATGACGACTCCCCCTGCCCCAAGATTTTTCCTCTTTTGCATTGGACACACGTTTTATTTCCGTTTGGAGTTTTCCCTTTTTCCATGCGTCTCTATTAGCTCCATACAACATCTCGTCGAAAGTCACAGGTATTTACCGCTGCACTTTCCCTGGATTATCAATCATCCCTCGGCTTTGTTTGATGATAATGCATTTCGCTATTTTTGCCTCGTGGTTTGCAGATTCAAGGTCGTGATTTCTAATCTAATCGTAAATAGAGGTCTCGTTAATTGCGGTGATTAATGATTAATCGACCGAGCGGTTAGCTAAATGATATTGTTGCTGTCTTTGTCATTAAAAAACCAGTGGTTGGTTTAATAAAAAATATATATTGTTTGTCCAATTGTTTAATTTCATACGGTTCATAACAACTGAATTATTTAGTGAAAAATTCAGATTTTAAACGAATCGTAACGATTGAATGGGTGAATAAAATTCATCAACATCTAATCACGTAACTCGTTTTCATTTTAATTTCCATATAAAAAGGAGAAATCACAATTTCATCTGAATAATGATGATCAATTACCCACAATTGATTCCATAATAATTAATAGAGTGAAAAAGGAGTGAAAACAATAGTCCAGTAATTGGAGATAATCAATTGGCAGTGGTTCGTGTCGACAAGTGAAGTATTGAATAAGAATAATAATGAATGGCGAGTCTGTCGACCTCCGGAGATTAAATAAAAAAAGAGCAATAAATAAATAAATGAGGGAAGAGTCTCCTGTATGAAATGAAACGCGATGGCAAGTTCACGGCGTGTGTGCAGTACTTTTCAAGTAAGAAGTGAAAGTAACATTACGGATTGACTGGGGAATACCTTCATCTCACTCCTCATCGTGGATTATTTTTTTTTTTCCTACTTGAGGATCTGAGACCCCCAGGCACTAGGCGATCTTCACCGGTATTTATTTGATAAGCTCTATGGGAAAACACGCGTTTCTCAGGATAAACATCACACGAGTAGAAATAATCAACAAAATTTATCCTGATGTTCACAATTTTTCACCTGAAATTGGAGTGATTAATTATGTAACACGCGGTAAAAATTACACGAGTAATTGTCATTTGGGTCTGAAAATAATTGAATTGCCACTGATTTTTAAAATGTATAAAATCAATGATAAATGGCTATCGCATAGTGATTGCTTAATCTACGTTTCTGTCCGACGAAAATAAAAGTGGAAAAGATTAAATTATTGATAAGAAATTGTAATGAGATAATTACACTTTTGGGTGATTATGTTGTGAGTGATTATGTTGGGTGATTGTGGGAGGAAGTGTCAAATATTCTTTTGTGACAGTATCTTTCGACATTTCCTCCTGAAATCATAAATTACCGGGGCAACGAGACCTTCCGTAATTATCCCAAAGCGTCGAGAAAAATCGTAAATTTCAGATAAGCCTGATAAGTCGGTCAATGAACCAGTGAGACACGCGTGTCTGTAACATAAAATAACCGAGGAGACGATGCCATCGATATTTTTTGAAAGTGAAACCCCGGCGGGCAGGGAAAAGCAGCAAAGTGGTCCCTGGAATGTCCACGTACACCTGCCCATCCAATAAGATGATGTTGGAGATGAGTAAAGACATGAATACACACAAGTGAGAACGAATGACGGGAAATATTAATGGAACGAGACACGCGTGGACGATTACGAGGACATGAAGGACTTCCTTCATCGTTTGTCAAGTTGAATATCAAGTTATTCGGTAGTTTAGAAAGTTTTCGGAAGAGACTCATCATCGCCTGGGGCGTGTCCCACACCTCACCTGAAATTGGCATACATTTTATTTCATGATCTCCCTAAATATCTCTACAACAACTCAAGTCCCTTCATGATACTCTAAATTTCGATTGGAAAAACCCTTGACAATAATTATTTTAAATAATCCACTGATTCGTGAACGAATAATATTTTTTGAAGAGAAATTACTGTCTTCCAAATCTTCATCAAATCCCATGGACTAATTATTCCTCAATTATCCGTCGTCTAATGGTCTTGGAATTATTGCTAGAAAAAAAATTTTACGAACTAATCACGAAAGCTTTGGACAATTTATTTATAATTTTCTTGAAATCGTCTGAATTTCACTGGTTTGAGGGTAACTAGGACAAACAGAGGTTTTAGTAATTCCCCATTACCGCATAAATAATTGATAAAAACAATTACCAGAGTATTCCATGAAAATTTGTGATCAATAACCAATGACTTATCGTGTAATAGTTGGTATCCCAGAGAAAGCGCATGAATTTTAATGGTCGACGACACATCGGCGGGGCCGCGTGTTTATTACAATTTCTTATAGAATTCCATCTGTAAATAAAAAATCTCTCGAGAGAAACGGAAGATGATTTCACAGCGCATCCACAGGTGGAAGGGATTTGTATATTTTCTTCTTCACACCCGTGGAATAGCGAACCGCAGGTGGGGTTCGCCTGGAGATGGCTTTCTTCCTAAATGTCAGGCTTGTTTTCTCCATTACGGAATTACCTCAGAGATTACAGAGACGAATGAGAGAGACCGATTCCTTAGATTTTCGTGGGAAAAATACCTTTTGTCTTCGATAATTATTAACTTAAGTAATTCTTCTTACCTTTCCATACCATCCGCGAAATTCACATCAGGCACTTAAAATTTTCCCGTAAATCTTCTCGTTCGAATCAGATTGTTTGAGCGTTTAAAATTTCAGCGCAAAAACTGTAATTATGTCGTTAAATTAACGGTTTACCTTTACGACGGAATACATTGCGATGTGAGGAATGCGAATGTAAGAGTTTTTATAATTTATCTTCAGATATTTGAAACTTCAAAAGTTCAATTTCGATGGATTAATTTTCCGACGTGAAGATGATTGCACCGAGGAATAAATCACTTCTGCCATTTTTGCGTGTAATTTATTCCCCAATTGTTTCAGTTAAATTTTTTTCGGTTCATTTTGGGAAAATAATAGATGAATAAATAATAATTCTCTAATTACGTGGGATTTCTCGGCGATTTCACCTCAGTCCGGGGTCACGAATGCTGTCATTTCTCTCTGAGTGACGAGCCACAAATCCTCACCAGGTGAAATAGGCGATGAATGAAATGTCTCCTGCAGACAGTGATTCAGATTGAAATATATCGCGTGGTTTATACACCAGGAAGACCGCCAAAGGCAAAAATTTTTTTTGCAATCGTTAAGACTCATCTCCTCGCAGATGGGCATGATAATAAAACATTGAAATCTCCCCAGTGTGTAGATCTCGCTTTCTTGCTTGCCATTTTTTTTTCTCTCTCTCTCATTTTTTCTCTTTATCTGCGAATACGTATATTTTAAGAGGCATAGAGCTCGCTAATTACTGAAAAGTACACGCTCCTACGCGTGAGTTAACTACGGGGGGCACGTAGAAATCTCTGGAAATCTCACTCAACAAATGCATAAACATTTACAGCTGTAATAATTGCCATTAGATACTCTCTAATTATTTCTCCAAACATCAGAAATATTAGGAATTGATTTTTCCCAGGAAAAAAATATCTCTGGTCTCGAAGAAAAAGTAGAATTTTACATATTAATAAATAAATAAATAAAATAATAAATATGTGCATCGAAAAAAAAAAAATATAGCTGAAAATGAGACAAGTCCCAAATTTCCGTTCAAAAAAATTTGATTTTTTTTTAAAAGGAATTAAATGCCAATGAAAAAGATTTAAAAGAGATTATTTTACTTGGATTCCAGCTACTACCAATTATTCTCACCTGCCTCCTAGTCCTGGTGACGTCAGCAGAGGACTCAGAGGAGGTGAGTCCCCTGCCACCGATAAAAATCGACAAGCACCTGCGTCGGGCACTGCTAAAAGCCCTGGAGGACCTGGAAGCCGAGTCAGAGGAACAGAAGGAGGACACATCACCACCGGAGAAGGTCGTGACGAAAGTCACCGATAACATCGACACCTCGGAGCGCTTCTCCGGGGCGTCCTTTTCCTTCTCCGGCTTCCCCTCGGACTCTTCAGAAATTCCCTCCGAGGAGAAACTCCAGAATTCGACGTTCGTGGAGAGTGAAAAACTGGAGACAACGGATGGCAAGGAAACCGATAAAGCCACGTTCCAGAAGTTCGACGTACTCCTGGGGGACAAGGAGATTCTCGAGAAGAGTCCGAATGCAAATCAAGTCGATCAGATTTTAACGCGCAGCGTTGAAATAACAAGTGGCAAATCCGTAAATTCGATAGATCGTTCGCCAAAGGAGAAGGATGAGAAAGAGAGTTTGAGCTTTAGTTCGAGCAATGGGATAGCATCGGCATCGGCAAATTCATTAATTCCACCGAGTCCAACACCCCCTAGTCCAACGGTGAAACCAGTGCCACGTAATCTTACATCACCTCTGCTGCCAACCAAGGTACCAAGTGTCAGTGCAAAGCCAGAGGATTCAGAGGTGAAGATCTTCCAGGCACCGCTGGTAGCTGCTTTCACTGTTCAGCAGGATGAGAGAGGTGTTCCAAAGAGCGTTGTGCCCCTGTACAAACCTGGAACGGATAATCAGGGATTGAGTCTGCAGGAGCAATTGGACTTTAAACAGCAACTCCTGGAGAGACAGCTGGCTGAACTGCAGGCGCAGCACGCACAGCAGACGCAGTTTCTGTACAAGCAGCAGTTGCTGTATCAGGAGCAGCTGAGACTGAAGCAGAGACAGCAGCTTTATCTCCAGGAGCAGGCGAGACTCAAGCAGATCGAGGAGCAGAGAACTCAGCAGCTCAAGCAGGCGCAGCAACAGGTGCAGCAGCAGGTGCAGGAACAGTTGCGTCAGGGACAGAATCTTCAAGGGGCATTCAGTCAGAACAACCTCCTGACATTCCAACCCCCACTGCAAACTCAGAACGTTCAATTCCAGCCAAGTGTTGCCTTCCAGCTTCCCAATGCCATTCCTCCACCTCCGTTTGCCCCAGTTCCCTCTGTCCAAGATCAGCTGAGACTGCAACTGCAGAGACAGCAGATCCTCCAGCAGCAGGCACAGCAGCTCCAGCAGCAGAGACAGCAGGCAGTATTTCTCCAGCAACAGAGGCTCCAGCAGAGTTTCCCAGGTTTTCCGAATGACTTCCAGCCACCTGCACCCACCCCAGCTACGAGGTTCAACAGGCAGGAGGCATTTGGAACTGTCGGAAATTTTGGAATAAATGATAACAGGCAGATCATCACCAGAAATCACCTCGAGCCCCCGAGGCTCCCACCTCAGGACTTCGGGGCTTTCAACAATTTTGGGTTCAGGGGCCAGAACTTCAGGCCTCAAACACCCGCCAGACAGATTCAGCATCTGCTGTTTCAATCCGGAGTTGCGGGTGCTCTTCAATCCCCGCAGAATCAACAAGGACGATCCAACCAGGAAGACCTCAATATTGTCTCTAAAGTTCTAGCACTCAATGTCGGTGCGGTTCCTACCAAAAATCTACAGTTCAATGACGAGGGATTCAGGGCGTGAGAATTACTCAATTTATTTATATGTTGTTACGATTAAATTATTCCTGCAGGTGTGGAGTACTCGAGGATGCCCTCACATACGAGTAAATCCTCAGTGGCTTCTGAAGATGTTTTCAATGGAAATGAGGAAAATGATAGAAAGCGATCGTAAATACAAGTATTGTAATTGTTTTGAATATTATTGTTGGGGAATTAACGGAAACATCTTCGGGTAATCAGAGAGACGGAAGTCGAGGCCTTAACGGGGATAATTATATTAATTACTAGATTTTCGTCTGTAGTTCTCAAAAGTCCCTGTATGGGATCAACTTTCTTGAAGACGATGTGGAGAGAATTGTTCAGGTGAGATGAATTTACGTAATCAATTATGTGGCGTCTGTACTAGAATTTTCTGAGAACATTGTTCCGAGAAATTTCCCATTTTTCTCGTCTCACCTTTTTTTACTCTCCCACTTTATTCAGTCTTTTCTCTTAGATTTCATATCTCGCTTGTAAAAAATTTTATAACGAAGAGAAGTTGAGACCTTTGAAGGGAAATGAAAATTGAGAAATAATGGAGTGTCATGAGGTTCATTGAAATTCGATGAGTCATCCAGGAATTTATGATTCAATCTCGAAGATAATCAAGATTAGACCGATCAGACTAGACTCTAGTTGACGTGCCGAGGGAATTGTTGAAGTGCTGTTATTTTCGGATAATTTTAATTAACAATGAATCCAAATTAAAACCCATCTTCTTCTCTGATAAAATGACTCGTTACTTACCAGTCATCAATGAAATTTCCCAAACAATTTGAAGCCTTCGATTGCGCCTAGAAAAATCACACCATAATAATTTAATTCCACCTGATTACCTGTCCACAATCAAATCCATTTCCTCCTTGCCATGAAGCGAAAAATTGAGACTGGACCTTTGACTCGCCAACTTTCATAAACAATTTGAACAATTGACCTCATCGATAATCATTTGATTAACGCCTCATTCTCCCTCTGATTAACAATTTCCAATTTCTCCATAATTGTAAAAACGGCGACTCCATTACAATTACGACATTATTTATAAACCCCCATCACCATCGGGTACCGTAATCTGTGTAATGGATTTTATTCCAAGGTCGTGAGGGGGCACAGAGAAGTGGAGAATGAAAACGGTTTATACGAAATTGAAAACGGAAAACTTTCGCCAGGGCTCCTTCACAGCTCAAAGTATTCCACCAGTATATCGAGAGGATCGAAAGCCGATGAGTCGACTAGGTGGTTGCAAACAAATCGTGTCTCCATGATCCCACCTCTTCCTGACTATTTCATCTGGTGTTGTGGAGATGTCCTCAATTTCACAAACGCCTTTGGCATAGATTCCAGATTTCTCCAGTCCCACGAAATCGACGACAAACGGTCGAATAAAGTCGAATTTTCATTCCCCATTAAATTTTTTTTTTCACCATTTCTTTATTAAAATGTTTATTATGACCCGGATATCGTTTATTCTCCGTGAAATTCTCCGCAACTCTCGGGACCTTGGAGATTTCGTCTTCTTTATTAAGTTATAAATTATTAGACTAGGGATAATTTAAATAACACGTGTGAATAACGGTTTAATTTTATCGTTGATTAATATATTATATGCTACCAATGGATTTCTACTTGTTTGGTGGAGTAATTTATCGGTAATAATATTAATTATTGAGATTAAGGTTGACACGTGTAAAAATGCCAATAAAGTATGATTAACGTAGGTTGTAATTATTTTTATTTGTTATTTCCTCCCGTCAGCCTTTGATAATTATGAGAGGGAGGGATTATAAAAAAATTTCGTTGGAATTGTTTTTACGGAAAAATGTATTGAAATTAATTGAATAATTAATAAATAAAAAGATGCCACAGTAAGTTCTCTCCGATGTTTTCCTCCCCGAATTAATTAATCGAAGATCAATTGATTAATGAAAAATTCAAATTGTTCCGCACATGAATTTGCACTCTACGAAATGTACCAGTAATTAGAAATCATTAGCAAGATCTTTCAGAGGCTTTTCTGTTGTTATCATTAATCACCAAGGCCTGCTCTCAGTGTATGAAAATAATTCTCCCATCATGAATATAAATCTTCATGATAACGAGAAATCATGAAGAAAATTTCACGCGTATTAATCGTTGATTAGCAGTCTGAACAGCCGATGACGACTCCACAAAGACCAGTGATAATAAAAATATCCGATTCATCGGTTCAATAGAAAATGATCCTATTATCAGTTCCCGATGATACAAGATAATCATTCTCCTATAAAACCAATCAGTGGGCGTATACGGTAGCATTTCTGGTGACAATGACTTCGCCACCTACGACTAACCGATTTATCCAGAGTTTTCTCTACGTAATCCTCTATCTTCCCTTAATCACCTGCGAATCACCTCAGGATTATGACGGAGGTGATACGAGATTCCGTGTACTCAATCCATTTCTATCGAATCGAGAGATAAATAATAGTGCAGTGCAGGTGTTGGACGTTATTCGTGAACTTCAGCCGAGAAATATCATCAGGGCAAATGGAAGGAGTTATTTGGACCGAGCAATTCGATATGACGCAGTCAACAATTCGCAATGCCAAGATCAATTTGCATTATATGTTAATGGTCTAGAAAAATTTGAGACATGGGCTCTGAAAAGTGAGTAAATCCTGACGAATAAAATCATCAACAGACACTTTCTACCGAAATCTTGTGCCATCAATTGAGCTTTCGGGTTTAATGAACTTTCACAATCTTTCAGTGTTGGATTCATCATCGAAGATTCCCTCAGGAATTTTGAAAGGTAATCTAAAGGACTTGGGTGCTTACGACGAGTGTACATCAGTCGAAGTAAAAAAAGAACTGGAATTAATTCGTGGACGTCCATGCATGTACTCATTCTCCATCGATGGAACACCGATGATGCCCACCTCGTTAGAGATTTCACTATCTATATGCGCACCTGCGAGCTGTGACGCCGAAGACGTAACAGCGATGTTGAAGAACCTGATAAATGAAACGTCAGCTAATATTCCCTTAAAGATTCGTGTGGGACAGGTACAGTGTTCCGTTATAGATCCTGCACCATTCGAAACCGGAGAGACTGTCGTCTTGTAAGTTCATCGGACTCCCGATAATTCCACTCTCGATTATCGACGATTTCCCATTTCAGAGTGATCCTCTCGATATTCCTCTGCTTCCTCATCGGCTGCACCATCTGCGATATCTATGCCCGAATGACTTGTCGGAGCAGACAGAACAGCTTCTGCAATGCAATCTCAAAATTTTCATTTTACACTAACATAATCCGTATATTCAATACAAATCAGCCCGGAGATAATGTATCAGTAGTTAATGGAATAAGATTCTTCAGCTTAAGTTGGGTAATTCTTGGTCACGAGTATCTACTGTCCATCCAAGGACCATCAATAAATCCATTCGACGCACGTGAGGTACGAAATTTCTAGAAAGATTTTTTGTGTCCTCTCAAGAGAGTCTTTATCATAAATATTCTTTCAGTGGTATCAATCCTGGAGTTCTACGTACATCCTGATTGCTCCATACGCTGTGGATACATTTTTTGTACTGAGTGGATTCCTCACTTCGTATCTTTTCATGAAGGAAATGTCGAAGGGCCGACGATTTAATTTAATCACGTATTATCTTCACCGTTATATCAGGTATACGAAATGTTAAATAACTTGAAGAAATATGAATGAGTGGTCCTTATTCAATTAAACGGTTGTTTTCTATATCATTTAGAAAATGGTTTTATCAATTTATAGATTGACGCCAGCTTTTGCGGCGATAATCATCTTATCGATATACTTGTTACCACGAATGGGCTCTGGGGCCAAGTGGGACTCATGGATGAATAATCAGAAGGAATTGTGCAAACAGAGTTGGTGGCCCATGATGCTTTATGTTCATAATTACGTGGGCGAGCATCGCTTGGTACGTTCTAATGAATTAATCATTTGACTCATGACTATTAACAATCAAATAATGACGATTATTAATTACCAGTATTGTCTGGCCCACACGTGGTACCTCGCGATAGACATGCAACTCTTCTGGATATCCCCAATAATTCTCTTGGCTTTAGCAAAAAAACCAAAAATCGGACTCAGCATTTTATCAATATTACTCATCATTTCAATAATCACACCCGCTATCGTCGTGGGAGAGGAAAAATATTCCGCATCGCTTACTGCGAATATTTCCAAGTAAGTTAAATTGTTTCGTCCATTCGAAATCAACGGATCAAGAATTGAGTCCACAGAATCCACAGCTCAGTTGATTATTAATTTTTGGTGTACATTTATTTTAAAGACCCAATAGGTTAATGGATATGATGTACAACTTATATTTGGCAACGCATACCAGGGCGGGCCCTTGGCTCCTCGGAATTTACCTGGGCTACCTAATCACCAGGAGACGACACGAAATCAACACGAAGTTTATGGTCCTGGGATGGATCCTCGCACTGGTGGCATTTTCCTTTATCTTCTTCACCCATAAAATTTTTCAAAATAGTAATTATGAGTGGAATGCCCCCTGGGAGATCTTCTACGCCGGTTTCGCGAGGCACATTTGGGCTGTTGGTGTCTGCTGGTTAATTTACTCATCTATGATGGGTTACGGGGGTGTAATTGCCGATTTATTGTCTCTCCGGGTATTCATACCTTTCGGGAGAATATCTTACTGCGTTTATTTGATTCACATGATTATTCAAAATATGGGAATCGCCAGTGCCAGGGTTCCCAGGTATTTCGATCAACTCGTAGTTACTGAGAGTTTCTTCGGTCGATTAATTACCTCTATTATTGCTGGACTCGCTCTTAGTCTCGTTTTCGAGTCGCCATTCTTGGCTCTCGAAAAAATTGTATTTAGGAGGGACAGGAGAGATAAAACCGAGTCTCGAGAGGTTCTCCAGGACACGGAACCGGAAATCGGTGTCAATAACGATGGTTACATTCCTGACAAGCTTGAGGCAATTGATGGAAAAGTATGATGAGATCAGTCACCATCTTCATGGGTTTTGGAATTAAATGTAATTACATCTTCAAAAATTCGTCAGTTCAATTCAGCAGTGACACGCATTGCTAGTTAAATACGACAATAAATCGGAGGGATTTCCTTATCTAATATTTTTTCTCCTGTTATCTACTAGTAAAACTCATTCTAATTTTATATCCTTCTCTTGCAGATATGCGGGGATCAATCTGAAATTATAATTCTACACAATCGAGATTGTACGAACATGAAATGTACAAATTTTGTCAGCTGTTTGTAAATCGATTTTACGTCGGGAAAAATAATGTATTCAATTAATTGAATCACTTGGAAAAATTCGAATAAAAATTTATTTCGATGCAAAAAGTTAATTGGATTGACGAAAATATCTGTACAATATTTATAGTTACATTAGTATCACGTGGAGAGGATTTTAATCGCTCAGTGTGATGTTTGCATTATCGAAATCTTGAGTGTATTTTACCCTCGTCTCGAGTAAATATTAATCGAACACTATTCGGTGGATTTGTACAGGCTTAATTGATCTCGAATATCTTCCATCGTCGCATCTGGAAACACATCCCTTCGATTTCGTAATAATTTATAAATTTCGGCTAATGATTCGGACTCTGACCTAAAAAAAAAAAACAGAACTCATTCCTAAGAAATCTAATTGCACGCTGAACAATTCATATAATCCGAAAACAATTTATTTATAATAATAAATGCCTTTTCTCTTCTAATTGCTGTTCCGGTGTTAATTGTTGCTGAACAACTTTTTGTTTCGCTAATTTATACCGCGCCTGGATGCCGAACTCCTTGACTTCCTCGATCTCTGCATCCTTATACAAATAAATACGAAAAAATATTTAAATATAGATCACAATGAAATGATTAATTGATAAATGGGGATTGAAACCTTTTGTTTTTGTTCGGTTGTTCGAGTGAAAATATAAGTTGTAAAAACAACGAGAACAGTCGTGGCAACACAGTAGATATAGAACGTCGACAAATTTGGAAAATATCTATTCCATTGATCCCAAAATGAATCTATCATTTCCAAATATTTTTATAATTAATTTATTAACAAATTATTGGTTTTTACGAACTGTCAAGGTGGACGGAGGTTATGTTTTCGTAATGGCTAATCGAACATTCTTATCAGGTCATGACACCGTTTCCCTGCACCTGTCGTACCAAACAAAAAATCGGGATGAGGCGTTGTCACTTGAGTACATATATACAGATATACATCTCGTGTGTGTAAATATGCCATTTCACCCAATATCAAGAGAAATCCGCTCTCGAATTTTACGACATTTTTTGGAATTTTCCTCTACTTGTAAAAAAAATTTTTCACTGATAGGTCTTGAATCTCAATACTACAGATTAAACGATTTTTATTTCAAATTTGACGATTTATTTAAAACGGTTCAAATATACTGGAAAAAGACAGGATACAATTGCGATTTTTTATATTTATATACATCTACTATGACTTTAAATAAAAAAAAAGACAAGTTCACCAATTGCCGTCATTATATTTTTATTCTATCGCTCGCTATTCGGAGCATTCGGCTAATAGGTAGCTACGAATTGAACAGTCGTTTATAAAATTTAATTACAATTCTCCAGACAAAAATTCACGGAATCCCTTTCTTCCCTGATTAATTATCGGTGGACATTTCACCTCTTGGAATAGTTGATTACAATGATAATTAAGATGCTTGATACGAGTGACTAGTTTTGGAGATGATGAGATGTCAGTCAATGATTTCGACGAGTTTATCCGTGATGGAAGGAAATGAATGAATTTCAAATATTGTTGAACTTGTCCAGGTACCACTTGTGACTCCTCATCGTCGCCAGGAGTCCATCTTCTAGAACCATTGAGTCAGTGGCCCCAAAATCTAGTTGAGTATCACCTGATAGTGAGGATACAGTACCACCAAGAGCCCTATGACAATTTACTCAATTATAAATCCCTTCAGACACACAATAAACAGTCCCGTGAATTGTCAGAAAAAAATAATTAATTTTTTTTTACTTGATAATAGCTGCACCAGCGCACACATCCCACTTTTTGATAGCTGTCATATGAACGTATGCAGTGGCATTTCCAACTGCAACCTCCAGAAATTTGTATCCAGCACCTGCCGCTGATATTATTTTCACATTCTCGCCTAGGGCTGTCTTGGAAGCATTGTGGACTTTTCCAGCGTGGGATCTCGAGACGATTAAGATAGGATCCCTTGGTACTTTTTTCTATCAATAAAGAATCATTTGTATTTATTCAGATGAAAATAATCTAGATGAAAACGGTGTAGTAAAAATATTTAATACGGATGATAATGCTCACAGAAGAAAAACTTTGTAAATTTTTGGAAGATCCATGGAAAGCCCAAGCCCAATAGGTCTGCTTGGGAATGAAGGGCTTATGAATAATTCCAATAACTGGAACGCCCTTTACAGCAATGCAAACCATCGTAGTGACGTACTCCAATAAACTCTCTATAAAAACCGCAAACAAGTTGAAATATTGTTTGAAAATTGCAGAATTAATGACAACAATTCCACAATTTATATCTCATTCTGGATTGTAAAAAATCACCTGTATATTCCTTGGTAGCATCGAGAGGATCAATCCAGACAGTGACATGCTCTGGATCAACAGCAACATCCCATCCAGAATCGATTTGCTCCAGAACCATCGACTCCTCAGTACCACTGGGTCTGACCACCTCATCGCAATCCTTGCTCCTCTCCTCGGAGATAACAGTCACCGATGGAAATGCCAAAGACAAATAATTGTACATAGCACAGTGAGACCTGTAATCCGCCAATGTGACGGGATCATCGATTCCCTCCTTGGTTTTTCCCTTACTCTCAATCCCAAGTTTGGATTTTTCATGGACTCCAACCACCTCAACACCCCCAACCTCAGCTGCTTTTATAGCACCAGCTAACAACAATTTCAAGGAGACAAAATCATTACTCGATTTTGAGGCGTAATACGATGACTGACGAATAGCGTAGAGATACAGGAGAATCAAGAGAATTATTGTTGTGCATAATCCTAGCCTGTGAATCCGCAGATTCGCTCCAATGTTCACAATCATGGTTAGTCGATGAAACTCGTACACTTTTTATTCGGTTTATATTTTTAATTTATTCTTGATTAATTTTAGTTATTTTTCTACTCATAACAAACTCCTACATTCTACCGCCATTTTTTATTAACTCTCGGTGCAACCGGTGCACAAATGCGAGCGCAGATGTTGCATGTTGCATGTCATGACGTCTTGGTGATTATTTGAATGGAATGCACTGAAGTAGACAAAGAGGATTGACTGAAGTAGAGGCTCAGTTAGGGGGGTTTGAATGACCCCAGCGGCATCGTAGTACTGCACCCCAAGAGAGGGAGGACGCCACATTCAATGGGGGTGTCTAAGATATGATACAAGCAGGCATTGTCAAACCAAAAACAGGGGACAATTTCTCTCAGGCAGCACGAGACAGCGCGGCGGTCACTATCACCTTCCCCTCATCTCCATGTCATCCCCACTCTGCAGCTGTTCGGCACTGGTGGGACTATTTAAAAAATGATAATTTTAAATAGCAGGAAAAAATGGAAAATATGGCCTTGGTTTATGGGATGTGTGGTATCTGCATGACCTCAAAGTTTAAAAAATAGAATAAACTATAGAGGCATTACCCAGTCTCCAAAAATCAGGCAATAACAATAAATAAATTGATTCCACTTACTTTTTATTAAAAAATAACAGCGACTTACAGCTGATGCAGCAGTTTTCGCAAACCAACCGGTACTCGAGCTGACGGGATTAGAAAACAGAACATAATTCAATGTATCTGATACTCCCATTCCCGTTTCAGAGATACAATCGAAGTGTTTTTGATGGTCAAGATCAAAATCCACACGCTAAATTCTCTTCAATCAATTATTTTTCACTGACTATTGGATTTTACGTGATTGCACTGTTTTTTTTAAGAGAGAATTATTTATTAGGTTAAGAATTTTCGCAATTATCGTATCTCGTCATATTGAGACTGCCCGCGGCGTTCTGTGCGCATGGACGGTGTGCGTGCGTATGCACGGAGTATCGCCTGGCGACCCCCCACTCGAGCGGTCTTCTGTGCGCATGCAGGGTGTTCTGTGCGCATGGGAAGTGTTCTGTGCGCATGCCCGGAGTATCGCCGGGGGGACCCCCCACTCGAGCGCCCCCGTCTCCAACGCCCTGCCATTTTCAG